AAGGCACTTAAATGAGATGAGTGACCATAGCAAGATATACTTGAGAATGGCATGAAATAGAAATTGGATGCCCTCTGGAAGCTGACGAGATTTGTATAAACCCACCCACCCTCCTTCTGCTGCTGTTGGGATTGTGAAGGGCTTGAAATGATGTCAGTGGAGGGTCCACGCTGTGATTTATCTGGGATCTCCAGAACTACACGACCTGGCAGCATAATCGGGAGCTGTTATTGATGGGAGCCACCCTCCTGCATGCCGGGGCGTCTCGCCGCACTTGAAACGCGACAAGTGACTTGCATCTCATGTAAACACATTTTTTAAGGAGCAAACCCAAGTGGCAGCTGTCCCTGTGCAGCACAAGAGGACTCAGTGCCTGGCCTGCAAGCAGCATTTGTGTAACAGTCGGGAGAGATGATGGCTGTGTAATGCCAATCGGTACATTTCCTTGACACAGCAATGAGTAACCCTGTGCATCGTGACAGCTCTCGTACAAGTGCCATGTTATACATTCATGTGACTTCAGTCACTGAGTTTTCACTTCTCGTACAGGTTGTCAGCCACACAGACAGACCCTCGGGCTGGCTTGGTGACACAAACGGGTATTAATTAGCTAACCGATTGGCACGGTTGGCTACGTACGTTGCCAAAGACGTTCAACATATATACATTAATGGCAGGGCCTCTAGACAGACATGAGGCATGTCTCATGTGCAAGTTGTACTTCTGATCTCCAACTGGTCAGCACCTCCCAGATCGAGGTTGCGCTCTTTTGGTGATCGGGCTTTCGTTAGCATGGCACCCAAGCTATGGAACGCCTTGCCATTTGAAATGAGGCATAGAGTCAGTAGAAATTTAAGTCTGTTTTGAAAACCCATCTCGTTAAAGTGGCCTTCTCTCTTTAGTTTGGTCGGTTGCCCTGGTTCTGTTTTTGTGTTCTGATTTTCATGCATTGCGATCCTAGGATGGAATGCGCATCTTACATTCTAATTCTATTACTTCCTGTGCGTTTTGGAATCGTGAGTCTGTGGGTCTGTGGCATCAATGGCAGACCCACTGGTCACAATCCCGCACCCAGCTCACCGCGTTATTTTATTGCTGAGGATCTCAGGAGTCATACCCGGTGTGAGCAGTAGGGGGCGAGGGTGCTGCCGCGTGTGATCCCAATTGAGTACAGACGTGGAGTAGTTTGACTCAAACAAAGTTCACGTCACGCTGGTACTTACTGGTGATGATGGTAGCGGAATTTGGTGATGGTAGTGGTGGTGTTGGTACCGATGGTTGTGGTGATGGTACCGGTGGTAATGTTGGTACTGATGGTGGTGGTGATGGTAGTAATGATAGTGGTGTTGGTACTGTTGGTAATATTGGTAGTGATGGTAATGATGGTGTTGGTACTGATGGTAATGATGTAACTGTTGGTAGTGATGTTGGTACTGATGGTAGTGGTGTTGGTGCTGATGGTAATGTTGGTACTGATGGTAATGTTGGTAATGATGGTAATGTTGGTACTGATGGTAGTGATGTTGGTACTGATGGTAGTGGTGTTGGCACTGATGGTACTGATGGTAAGGTTGGTACTGATGGTAAGGTTGGTACTGATGGTAGTGGTGTTGGTACTGATGGTAGTGATGTTGGTACTGATGGTAGGTGTTGGTACTGATGGTAGTGATGTTGGTAATGTTGGTACTGATGGTAGTGGTGTTGGCACTGATGGTAGTGGTGTTGGTACTGATGGTAGTGGTGTTGGCACTGTTGGTACTGATGGTAGTGGTGTTGGTACTGATGGTAGGTGTTGGTACTGATGGTAGTGGTGTTGGCACTGATGGTACTGATGGTAGTGGTGTTGGTACTGATGGTAGTGGTGTTGGCACTGATGGTACTGATGGTAAGGTTGGTACTGATGGTAAGGTTGGTACTGATGGTAGTGGTGTTGGTACTGATGGTAGTGATGTTGGTACTGATGGTAGGTGTTGGTACTGATGGTAGTGATGTTGGTAATGTTGGTACTGATGGTAGTGGTGTTGGCACTGATGGTAGTGGTGTTGGTACTGATGGTAGTGGTGTTGGCACTGTTGGTACTGATGGTAGTGGTGTTGGTACTGATGGTAGGTGTTGGTACTGATGGTAGTAATGTTGGTAGTGATGTTGGTAATGTTGGTACTGATGGTAGTGGTGTTGGCACTGATGGTAGTGGTGTTGGTACTGATGGTAGTGTTGGTACTGGTGGTACTGATGGTAGTGGTGTTGGTACTGATGGTAGTGGTGTTGGTACTGATGGTAGTGTTGGTACTGGTGGTACTGATGGTAGTGGTGTTGGTACTGATGGTAGTGGTGTTGGTACTGATGGTAGTGATGTTGGTACTGATGGTAGTGTTGGTACTGGTGGTACTGATGGTAGTGGTGTTGGTATTGATGGTAGTGGTGTTGGTACTGATGGTAGTGATGTTGGTACTGATGGTAGTGATGTTGGTACTGATGGTAGTGGTGTTGGTACTGATGGTAGTGGTGTTGGTACTGATGGTAGTGTTGGTACTGGTGGTACTGATGGTAGTGGTGTTGGTACTGATGGTAGTGGTGTTGGTACTGATGGTAGTGATGTTGGTACTGATGGTAGTGATGTTGGTACTGATGGTAGTGTTGGTACTGGTGGTACTGATGGTAGTGGTGTTGGTACTGATGGTAGTGGTGTTGGTACTGATGGTAGTGATGTTGGTACTGATGGTAATGATGGTAATGTTGGTACTGATGGTAGTGATGTTGGTACTGGTGGTAGTGGTGTTGGTACTGATGGTAGTGGTGTTGGTACTGGTGGTAGTGATGTTGGGACTGATGGTAGTGATGGTAGTGATGTAACTGATGATAGTGATGTTGGTAGTGATGGTAGTGGTGTTGGTACTGATGGTAGTGGTGTAACTGATGGTAGTGGTGTTGGTACTGATGGTAGTGATGTTGGTAGTGATGGTAGTGGTGTAACTGATGGTAGTGATGTTGGTAGTGATGGTAGTGGTGTTGGTACTGATGGTAGTGGTGTAACTGATGGTAGTGGTGTTGGTACTGATGGTAGTGATGTTGGTAGTGATGGTAGTGGTGTAACTGATGGTAGTGATGTTGGTAGTGATGGTAGTGGTGTTGGTAGTGATGGTAGTGGTGTTGGTACTGATGGTAGTGATGTTGGTACTGATGGTAGTGATGTTGGTACTGATGGTACATTAGTGGTGTTGATGTCAATGTTGGTAGTAGGTGACGATGGAAGCGGTGTTAGTAGTGATGGTCGTAAATGTGTGTGACTGCTGACAGCACCGCCGGTCGAGTTGACGAGTGACGTTGGTGCTCGTGGTCGAGTCCGGGTGGTGATTTCGAGGCCGGCGCTTGTTGATGCTCGTGATGGTGATGTTGTCGATACTGGTGACGTTGATGGGGATGTTGATGCTGGTGATGATGGGAATGTTGATGTGTTGATGTTAGTGATGTTGGTAGTGATGTTGGTAGTGATGGTAGTGATGTTAGTGATGTTGGTAGTGATGTTGGTAGTGATGTTAGTGATGTTAGTGATGTTCGTGATGTTCGTGATGGTAGTGATGTTAGTGATGTTCGCACCTTCATGCTCGCGTCCCCGGGCGCCGCCCGCCGCAGCAGCAGCAACAGCAGCAGCGCCCACATCTCGGAGGCCGCCATCGCGCGTAGTGACGTCACGTGCGAGACACCCAATCACAGGAGCACGGCGCTGAGGCGACCACGTGAGTAAGGCGGCGAACTCCACCAGGAGGGGGCGCGGATGGCGGAACCACGTGACTGACGTGGGTCGGGGGGGGGCAACGCTGAGCTACCAGGGGGGCACCACGTGACCCATGAGTGGAGCGGGCAGCACCACGTGACCCATCAGTGTGGGGGGTCAGCACAGTGAACGCGAGCACACGTTGGCATCGCGTCTAGCGAGGTCTATGACCCTCACACTGCGTCGTTACGAGACAACGTCCGGCTCTGTGTCCACCCACTGCTCGATGAAGACCTCCTCACGCTACGCCATCCACAAGGCTTGTTTGACCATACTTAACCGTGCTGGTCAGTCTGGGTTTGTGAATCCCGTGCGGGAGCGTTAGTGTAGTGGTTCGCAGGCTGCACTACGAACCCGGCCACCCGAGTTCGGTTCCTGTTCACGACCTACACCTGAGGCTGAGTCGATTTAGGTCCTTCCCTAAATCGACCCAGCCTCAAATAAGTACCTGGCGCGGTGTGTAAACGTCGCCACTCAGAAGATAAAGGGGGCCAGGTGTAGTGCTGGCAACCAACCCCATCGTGTGCCGATCTGGCCTTTATAGGTGCTCACTTACACAACTTGCCCCAACAGTCTGTTCAGGCAAAACGGGGGTCATTTGTCTTTGAAGGGACTCCAACAGAGGGAGCTCTAGAGCCCATATTGAAAATATTTTGGCCTTCCACACCGATTTAAAGCAATTAGAGGACTACAATTTCAATAAAATAGTGACCATGAATAATTTAACTGACAACCGGATTATTGTAACAACCCAAGTGCACCTGGTTACACACACGGCATGTGGCTTGCGGAGACACAAACTCGAGGCGGCCTTGACCCCACCCATTCGTTTGGGAAATGCACCACACAATCCCACAGCACCTTGTTCATGATGAAGTTTTTCCCTTGTGCCGCCTCTCCAGTTCACGCGAGGAAAACCACTGCGTGGGTTTCCACGGTCACGACGTACAGCCCAACGATGTGTTTTCTGGTTGTGGCGAGTGTTGTTTGGCATTCGTCCGGCGTTTCGCTCCACGTGCTGGGTGCTTATTCAGTTCTGAAGCTTCTCCAGTTGCTGCAGAAGCTCCAATCACGTGGAGCGAAACGTCGGACATCAAGCTGAACAACACGAGGTGCAACCTGAAAGAGCACCGGAGAGCTACCCAAGGAATAGACAACTCACGAGATGAATGTGCTGGAGCAAGTGTTTGATAAACAGCTGGTCGCCATGTCCACAAATGCAACATTTACTGAGCAATCCGCGCAGAAACAGCAGCACCCTTAAGGCAACAGCAATTGGAGGAATTTACAGCAAAAGCAACGGTTGTAATTCTAAAGCGGACATGCTAAATAAACGACACGTTAGGATATGCATCATGAGGCTACACAGGGCAGATGGTAATTTCTCGTGTGGAATATGAAACAGCCCTTTGTCAATCCACCGCTGGATGAAGGGCTCGCGATGCCTCTTGGCTGTGGCTTTGTTTGACCGTGCCTAAACGTAATGGTGCGGTTCGTGCGCCGCACTACGAACCCTGTAACCCGATGTGGATTCCCGGCCACGGCTGTCATCAGTCGCGAGAGTGATATCTGAATTGGCCCCGACCTTCCCACATTCACTAACATGCACTGGCCAGTAGGGTAAAGTATGGTCAAAAAACCTCCATAACTACCGTGACATGGGGAGGCCTTCATCTAACAGTGCATTGACACAGGGTTGTAAATAAAAACCAATATGAACCAGCCTCCAAACCACAGCGGAGTCCAATATGCACTGACATTTTACGATGGACATGTCAAGTTGGCCAAACAGCAAACAGTTGGAACACGAGGAATGTTAAAGTCAAGTGATTGCATCCAAACTTAAAATTACTGCACATTTTTTATTCCAAATGTATTGTATTTTAGTCATTTAGTGCACAACTAGAATTTACTTGAAAGGGTTTCCGAGATGATTTTGAAACGATTGTTCTGTACAACGGACGCGAGTTATGTTTTAAGAAATCTGACAGTTTTACGGGTTCAACTCTGTTGCAAGGATCGGGTCACTTGCAACCTCGACACGTGCCGTGTGAAGTATTCCGCAACCAATGTTTAGGTCCACACATTCTCTGCTGACCGAGACGTGCAACACGACATCAGTTCGGAATGTTACTCTGCAGGTAAAATTGAAAGCGATCTTTATTTTGCATAGGTGCCCTGGCATAGGCAATGCAGAACTACACAACGGATGACACAGATGTGCAGAAAAAACAAACACAACTACCAGCCAGCCTTGGCCGATCTGACAGTTGAGCACCCATATCGCTTAACATCCACATCAACGTATCCGCTCTTCCCTTAGCAAAGGTAACTTTGAAAGAACACCATCTATGCAAGTGCTGTACCGGTTAATCCAGACTGGCTTTGATGCCCAAATATGTGTAACATGATTTGGCAATGTTCATTTCAAAGAGAAAGAGTTCAGAGAGGAATACAAACAAAAAAATAAATATAACAAACAATATAATTGTTATTTTGGACAAAGAATTTTCTACATTTTGCCAGCCATTAAGGTGGTGTCTGCACTCACACTGCCAAGCGCTGCCCTCATTTTACATCCTGCGTCACTCGCTCTTCCACTCCACAACTGCTGTTGCTGTAAAAGCTGAAAGTGCAGCCCCGCAATTGCTTGCTCGTGTCCACTGTTGGCAGAAGGGCCTCCACTAGAGGGAGCTCCAGACAGCCCCGAATCTTCCATGATGGCCATCCATTTTGGAAGAGCTGGCAGTACCCACACTTCACACCAACACGTGACTTTCTGATCGACTGCTCAGGGACTGTTGCATTGACAAAGGCGGCGGCGGCGGCGGTGGGACAGGGGGGATTTTAATAAACCTTTCCCATTGTTTCAACTGCCGTGTCGGGAGATCAAAGCGGCGACTTCTGGATTTCAAGCCCAGTGTGCAAGCCATTACACTCCGGCAGCATCCCAGTTGCTACACATAACTTGATCTGTGCAGGGCATTACACGCGCCACCGAAGCTACGACTTCTCCTTGCTGTGCTGCGCTGGATGAGCTGGCGTTGGCTGTGCTGCTTGTGCCTGCGTGACTATGGTGATGTGCTGCTGCTGCTGCTGCGGCGCTGTCGCACTGTGCAGCTGTGCCGGCGGCTGTTTGTCGGTGGAGGACTCGGTGGTCATGACGACGGTTGGCATGGAGACGGCGGGGCACACCACGGTGCCCTGTGGCAGCTGCTGAATGCGCACTTGCTGCTGCTGCAGCTGCTGCTGCTGCAGCTGCTGCAGCTGTTGCTGCTGCTGCTGCAGCTGCTGCAGCTGCTGCTGCGTGATGTAGCTCACCGGCTTGTGTCCCGGCAGCAGCTTGGCGCCGGCCGGCATCGTCGTGAGGATGATGTTGCGGCCCAGGCCCCCGAGGCCGGAGGTGGGCAGGCTGCCCTTAAGAATCGCCGATGCGGTGATGAGCCCCCCCTTGGCATGGCCGTGCTGCCCAAGCACCTGCAGGTTCGAGATGGGCAGCGTGATGGTGCCCGTCACCTTGGCCGACGGCGCGTGGGACACCACCGTGGCGGTGACGTGGGCGGGCCTGAGGCCGATGGACGCCAAGCTGGCGACGGCCGCGCCGGCCGCACCCAGGGGGCCGCGCGCGGACGTGACGGTGGGAGCCCGCTTGGCGTTGTCGCCCGCCCGCGCCTCGCCGGCGCCGACGATGATGCCCAGCTCGGGCATCGCCCGCATGCCGGCCGTCCCCGCCCCCGGCTTGGCGACGCCTCCCGATATCCCCGTGGCCGGCCCGGCGCCGCCCAGACTGGGCTGCGTGGCGAGCACCGAGGAGGTGACGGTGGACCTGGCGTGCGGCGGGGTGCTGTACGTTATGCCGCCCGAAGACACGAAGCTGGACTTGACGACGCCCGCCGGTGCCGACGCCGTGGAGATGGCCGCTCGCAGAAACGTCTGCGCGTGGCCGAGGCCCGCCAGGGAAGAGACGGTCACGGACTTCAACAGCGTGGCGGCGCTCGAGGCGCCGCTCGCGGGGAAAAGTCCTACGCCGGGTTTTGGATCGGCAAGCCCCGGGCGAGGAAGCATCTTCACGGCGGCCCCGGGCGAGGAATCCAGGTCGGGCATTTCCGGCGTCGCCTTGATGACCGTGGCCGACGATAGGATGCCCTGCGGGGAGAGCACGGCTGTGCCGGACATGCCCCGACTAACCCCCAGCGAGGACAGCAGCTCGGGGGTGACCTTCAGAGTGGTCAGCTGCCCCTTGGAGAGAGCGGCGGCCATTTCGTGGGGCAGGCGCAGCACAGTCTGGGTGCGGGGCAGCGCGGCCAGCGCGGTGGTGAGGGTGACCTGCTGCCCCCGGGGCAGCGACACGGTGCTCAGGGGCAGCGGCGTCACGTCCTTACCCTGAATGCGCAGATTCGACGCGGTCACCCCTTTGCCCGCGCCCAGGGACACCTTCCTCACCACCGTCTGCGTCTTGAGCTGCGCGGACGGCCCCGTGCCCGTCACGGAGACGATGACGGGCGTGGACGGCGTCGCCTTGGAGACGGCGGCCGACGCGGCGGACGTGGCCGGGGTGGCGGAGTGCACGGATGCGCCCGCCAGCCCCTTGGAGACGACCGTGAGCGGCGCAGAGATGGCCGCGCCAAATGTGGGCGCGGGCAGGGCCACGGAGGCGGCCAGGCTGGCAATGGACACCGTTGCCACGGACGGGGATGTCACCGCGGAGACGGTGACGGTCGCCGTGGAAACGCGCGCAGCCGGGGCCGGCGTGGAGGGGGCTGCCGAGGTGACGATGATCACCGTGCGGGAGGTGTGCGGAGTCGGCGTGTCCGGCGCCGGAGCCCTCGCGTTGACTTCTGGGTGATGCGACGCCACCAGCTGCTGCGCCGTCGGCGTCGGGGGGATCAGCTTCTTGACCGGAAGCGGTTCCGATGATGGCGTCTGTGGCGACTTGATGAGGCCGCTTATCTGTGGCATTACCGGGAGGCTCGGGCAAAGAGGACTCGGTCCCTGCAAGCTCGGTTCAGCCTTGCTCTCCGGTTGAGCCTTCTCGTTCTCCTCCACCTTGGGGGTGATGATCTTTGAGATGGCCGCGTGTGCCGACACCGCGGCGAACGACGTGGTGCTCAAGGTCGGCGTGGGGGGCGTGGACGGTTCCAGGGAGCTCGCGTTTCCCTCGGGAGGCACGAGCATCGGTATCTCCTTAAAGCCGGATTTCCCTTTGCCCGGCGGCTTGGGTTTCTGCTGCAACGCCTTCTTGGCTTTCGCCGCTGCAGCCTGCGCCTGGTGAATTCTTTCAAACTCCTCCTGACTGCGGTTCCTGTGCAGATAGATCCACAGCTTGCGGCCGATATCGTACTTGACGCAGGGGTCCTTCTCGTAGTGCAGCCGGTCCAAGGCGCCGCTCACGACGGTGTTGATCTGCGCATTGGTGACGTCGGAAGCCAAAAACTGCGAGTCCTTGAGAAGCTCGCAAATCTCGGCGCGCGTCCCCTCGCCGTTGGGCAGTCGCGCCGCCGCGTCTCGAACCAGGGACAGGATGGTGACGTAGGCGGGACGATCTGAGCGCAGCAGGGAGTGCTCCCGGGCCTTGTTCAGTGCCGTCTCCTTATCAAACACGCCCTTCACGGGCCCCACCACCGACTCGAAGCCATGCATGCAGAAGGTGAACGCCTTGTGCGGCTGGCTGTAGCGCTGCCGCTCCCGCTCCTGGAAGACTCTCTTCTCCTCCTCGGTGCTCGGACGCACAACGTAGTCGGTCCTCACCCGCGGCGTGGGCGGCAAGATTTCGCCCTCCTCGCGCTCTTTTGACCGGCTCTGATCTTTCGTTTCCAACCACAGCTGGCACAGCACCTCCATTTCACCGTTCGAGTCGCGGCCGCCGCCGATCCACTTCCACTGCTGCAGTCTGTCTTTGTAGTCGACATAGGGAGCGAAATTTGGGGGCAACGAAGGCAGCGTCATGCTGGCGTCTCCGGCCAGGAACTGCAGTGAAGACGGCACGAGCTCTTGCCAGTTCTGCCCCGCGAGAACCCAGCCGGTGCTTTGAGCAGCTGGAGAGGTTAAGAACGCAGATACACCCTCTTCCAGTGCCGCCGAGTTGGCTTTTCCGTCCGGCAGGAAAAGATTGCGGAGGAGGCCGAAGAAACACGAAGGAGCGTTCCCATCCCTCTCCGAGGTCCACAGGTCTTCCGGCACTTCCGCCTTGGGCGTCACAGAGGGCAGCTCTGCCTCCTGCACCGGGCAGCTCCCGTCTGGAGAGACGGACGGCTGCTCCACAGCGACGTCGCCCTCCTGCTTGATTTTTCCCCGACGGCGCTTCTCCTCCTTCATCCGGCGCCGCGGCACCACGAGCCCCGCAAACTCCGAAATGGTTCCGCCCCCCTTCTTGTTGGGCACGTTCATGCGCGTGAGGATGTCGCCGAGGGTCAGCTCGCTCGTGTCCAGGGCCGGATCGTCCGGGTGAATCTTCCGTCTGGCCAGGTGACTCTTCATCAATGACTTTATCCCCTCGTCCCCCATCTCCTCCCTGTCCAGCGTCTTCATGTCCTGTGTGCACAGAGTAGGGAGGACTCGCGGTGCTGCGGCGGTGGTGGAGACCGGGCTCCTGGTTCCTCTTCGCAGCTGTGGGTCTTCTTCATCCTCATCTGAAGATGGATTGGGGTCGCCGCACTCCTCCCGAATTTCATTGAGGATGTTGCGAAACCGCTTCCTCACCCGCTCCTCCCTGGCCTCGGCACCCTCTCTGCCTGCCTGCCTCTCCAGCCGGCGCTTGCGCTTGAGCGAGTCCGCGGGCTGATGCCGCGCGGCGGCTTGCAGCAGCTCGTGGCGAGATAGCAGGATCTCGCGCAGTAGGCCACGCGTGCGCTGCTGCTGCAGCCGCAGGTAGCGCTTGTACTGCGCCTTGCGGCACAGGGCCCTGTAGTGCACTACCTCGGGGCTGAAGAAGCCCGTTTGGAACATGCGCTGAGCGCTTTCTAGCGGATTTCCGAACCGGAAGTTTTCACCGGAGAAGAGGGCGCGCAGGGTGGCGTGGCGGTTCTCCGCCTCCTCCGCAGGGAAGGAGGGCAGCAGCGCCCAGAGTCGCGCGCGCTCCGCGTCCGACAGGGCCTCGCGCCACGTGTCGGCCGACAGCACCTCGGCCCACAGCTCCGGGCTCTCCAGCAACGTCTCCGGCAGGCTCACCAGCTCCCCGGCCAGCAGACACTCCTCCATGGCCGGCCCACACGACTCCTGCTCATTGTCGTCGTCCTCCTCCTCGTCCGTCTCGTCGTCCTCCTCACAAAGGCCATCTTCTTGGCCGTTTCCTTCCTCTTCCTCCTCCTCTTCCTCCTCGTCATCCTCCATAGGCTCCCCGGCCAACATCATGTCCAAGGCCTCCATAGCTTCTGCGAGTGTGTCCGGCCGTCGGGGGAAAGACGCCAAATCAGCAGAATGCCAGTTTGCCGCTACGCTGGCATCACAGTCCCTTCCGATATCTGTCCAAAGATACAAAAAACACCAAGGTGAATTTCAAAAGGGATAGTTTTCTTAATTCTTCCATAAAATAATATACATTGTTATATTTACTTGTTAAATGCTATTTTTGTGCTCCACTGTTCGAAACTAATTGAGAATGGATATGCAACGCACATACACCACAATGAAAGGGCACCGCAACCTACACGGCAAATAACAAATTAAAAGCAAGCAACGTAATTCTGGGTCTCTGCCTACGAATCTTTGAGTGTATCTTAAACTGGAGAAATCTGATGAGATATAAAGCTCTTTTTAACAAATGTCCAATAGACTCGGTTTCCCAATAAGTGCCTGTGTTTATATGAGCCTCTGCGGGTCTCTACGAGTCTCACTGGGCCCCACAAAGATACACTGGCCCCAGTTATGCAAGCCCCCTCTCGCACAGCAGCACAGAGACGGCCGCGTGGGTATAAACGCATCAGTCAAACAAAGCATTAATAATAACGGGTTTTTTTCGGTTAGATTGCGTAAATATAAATGTGTCCTTAAACCCGCCACCACCCGACACAACCAACTAGTAAGGATGTCACAAACAATGCCAATTCGTTACTAGTACAGCACACCGGTGTGTTGGAGAGCAAATCCACAACATTTATGTTTCGCCAGAAATTACAACCGGCACCATCAGGCGGTAGCCAGATTTATGGAAAAATCCTCCTGTTTCGTTCCTTAAATATGTATGTTAAACTTCTTTCGCACCGTATGTAGCCAACCGTACTAACACGGTACACATTATGAGAGACACAATACAGCACACGCTGAGACAATACAGTACACACTGAGACACAACACGGTACACACTGAGAAACAGTACACACTGAGACACAATACAGTACACACTGAGACACAATACAGTACACACTGAGACACAATACAGTACACACTGAGACAATACAGTACATGCTGAGACACAACACAGTACATGCTGAGACACAACACAGTACACGCTGAGACACAATACAGTACACGCTGAGACACAATACAGTACACACTGAAACAACACAGTACAGAGAGACATTACAGTACACGCTGAGACAATACAGTACACACTGAGACACAATACAGTACACACTGAGGCACAATACAGTACATGCTGAGACACAATACAGTACACACTTAGACACAATACAGTACACACGGAGACACAATACAATACACACTGAGACACAATACAGTACATGCTGAGACACAATACAGTACACACTTAGACACAATACAGTACACACTGAGACACAATACAGTACATGCTGAGACAATACACGCTGAGACACACAATACAGTACACGCTGAGACACTACAGTACACGCTGAGACACAACACAATACATGCGGAGACACAAAACAGTATACGCTGAGACAATACTGTACACAGACACAACACAGTACACACTGAGACCCAATACAATACACACTGAGACCCAATACAGTACACACTGAGACCCAACACAGTACACACTGAGGCACCGTGCTCGTGACACGCGGAAGCCCGCGGCGCCGTCGTCGAGTCGCCGACGGCGCCGCTGCTGCGGCGAGGGCTGTGGCGGTACAGTGCGGGGGGGGGGCGGTACAGTGCGGGGGGGGGGGGGGCGGTACAGTGCGGGGGGGCGGTACAGTGCGGGGGGCGTTACAGTGCGGGGGGCGGTACAGTGCGGGGGGCGGTACAGTGCGGGGGCGGTACAGTGCGGGGGCGGTACAGTGCGGGGGCGGTACAGTGCGGGGGGCGGTACAGTGCGGGGGGCGGTACAGTGCGGGGGGCGGTACAGTGCGGGGGCGGTACAGTGCGGGGGGGCGGTACAGTGCGGGGGGGCGGTACAGTGCGGGGGGCGGTACAGTGCGGGGGCGGTACAGTGCGGGGGGGCGGTACAGTGCGGGGGGGGGGGCTGCGGCGCCCGGAGTCGACTCGCAGGCCGCGGCGAATGTGCGGGCCGCGAAACGCGGCGCTGCGCCGCGCTCCGCATCGCGCGCACGGCGCACAACGGCAGATTCTAACTTGTTACTTCATTACGAGCGTGTTTATTCACTTGTTGTTTAGTCGTAATCATGGTGATAAACGTCGTACTCACCTTGAAAGACGCTCTGCTGCGACGTGTTGCTGCGGGATGATACAGGCGCCTCTGGTTTGTGTTGCCAGTCTGCCGGCTCGAGTTTGCTGGTCACGGCGCACGGCGGGCGCGAATCTGCGGCGCGAATCGCGTCGAGAGCGCGGCGCGTGGGCGGCGCGGGCCCAGCGCCACACAGACAAAGGGCCCCGTGTAGCCTCGCCCGCACCGCGGGGCAAGTGCTGGCACGGCCACGCGGGTTGAGAGGGGGGGGGTGGCCAACACGGTAACCACGCCCTGTCGCCTGTCTGCCCCCAGGGCTGATGTTACACTCCCATTTATGGTCGAGTCGACCTAGGGGAGGGCCCATGACCGGTTCAATTATTCGACACTGTGATAGGGGGCCGTCCATAAATGACGTCACGCGATTTTGGACGATTTTTGACCGCCCCCCCTCAAATATGACGTCACAAAGCTCTGCCCCCCCCCCCCCCCCCCCCAAAAAAATAAAACATGCTTCAAATCGCTTTAAACTATTGTCATTGTAGTGCGTACTTAATTTGCCGCTGCACTCTGATGTTGTAGGAAAAACAATTCTTAAAAAGTATATTTAATTACGTAGAACGTGTTGTCGATATTTAAAGTTGCGCATTTTGATGTGACGCCACATTTCTCAACCCCCCCTCCCCCCCTTCGCCGAGCTGCGTGACGTCATTTATGGACGGTCCCGAGGTCGTGAGAGGGAATCCAACTCAGGCCACCGGGTTCGTAGCGCATTGCGCTAACCACTGCACCATGGCTCCCCGGACACTAAAATTAAATACTAATATTGTATTTACCAGGTAAGGCCCACCAAGCTATATGGCTCTTTGTCAGAATCGTCCTGGGCACAAATGATAGCTCAACAATGTAGAAATCTAGAGCCACCAAATCTAAACGCACGTCTCTAAATGTGGAGGGGAGGAAAATCAGAAGACCTGGAGAAAATTGCACAGGGAAAACATGCTAACTCCATATATACAGACGTCAGGGTCGAACCCACGCGTCCTGTATACCGGGTGACGTTACCGCAGCGCTTGTGCCAAGCTAGGTACACGTGGAGGCAAAATTAAGTGTGGAAAGCTCTGGCTGCTGCCAAGGCACAGGACGGAGACATCGCAGCGATACACTCCGCGACTCCTGACGCGGTTGTCTGGCTGGACCATCTGAATGTGAAATTGTAGTGAATGTGCAATTAATTGAAGTTGGTTGCTCTGCATCTACATAAGCCAGACGAAAGAAGACTTCACGGGACAGACCCATACGTTACGGTTTGACCGAGGTGCCTCGCTGTATTTTAGCCACCCGGTGCTCCGCGAGTTGAGCGGCGCTCCTCCGCCTACCGATGTTGAAGGGCGACTGTCTCCAACTGCCCAGGATCGTCTCTTCCATAGAGGCCGATCTTGACACCGCTGTCACCATCATCAGAAAGTCCACTCGGCCACCTATATCTGGCCAAATAAGCTGCCTGGGTATGCGGGCTACATGACGAAGCCAACGCTCGCCTGCCGGAGGAGCTCACTGATGATGGGACTGTCCAGATCTTCCAAGGATCTGAGCCCCTCACAATCCAGCCTGGTTAAACTCAGGATGGATCGTAGGCAGACCACCAGCCTGAATGTTTCAAACCGGTGCAGATGTTCCATTCCAGAGCCCCACGTTTCACAAGCACAGGGAGGGCATCACTCCTAGAAGACCTATAGCTTCAGAAACAAGCAATAGGCCAGGTAACTTCCACGTAGCGTTACACAGGTGATAGGAAAGATTCCTCTCGATTAAGCCATGCAAATATGCTGTTGTTCAGACATGTATTTCTGTATCTCTCCATTTGTCTTTTGGACACAAAGAGAGATAGACACGGAGATACAAATGAGTTAAAGAAAGCGATATAGACAAGGAGACGCTCATTCATGGAGAGACAGACGAAGATACTTTTTGGGTAAGTGGGTTTGGGCAGCACACATGAAGGGATGGTTAAAAAGAATAACGGAGTGGCAACATGTACAGAAATGGAAAACGTACAAAAATACATCAACTGATGAGATGGAGCGATTAAATCAGCTCATGTGCAGGTTTTTGTTGCATCATTAGGATCTTGACAAGTAGCTGCGTATTAGGGAGGCCTTTATCCAGCAGTGAATTATTGATCATGGTGTTAGCGCACGGTGCTACAAACCCAGCGACCGGGGTTTGATTTCCACTCACAGCCAACATCGGTGACAAATATCTGAACCAGTCTTGGATTTCCCAAAACGTACAGATTTCTCAGGACAGCTGCCACGGAAAAAAGAGAGTGATCCTGAGATATCCAGGACAGGTGGAAGCCTTAGTTTCAAGACGCAAATATATCACTTAAAAATCAACTGTTTAAAAAATACGCAAAGTTAAAGTAGATTTCTCTTTTAATTGAAAAATAATTATCAATATATTTGTGTGCATTGTGCTTTACAGATAAAAGATTTCAAAGTACAAATGATTACACCGTTAAAACGAAGAGAAGTTGTATAATCGGTGTGCAGACCCTTTTCTGGAAGTGTCAACAAGCAAGCAGTGCAGAGCAGCAGACTGCGGGGCGGCTTCCTGGCCCAGAGCAGCGTCCTGAAGCGGCGCGCGTCCACGCCCAAGCCATCTCCTCAGCTGCGCACAGAATTACTCTTGAAATCGCGCAACAAAAGACACCCGCAACAGGCTTTGTCCACATCTGAGCAAGAATTTGCCGACCAAGGATGTGGTTTGGCCACGCCCCTTACAGCATAGTCCGGCCCCCTTACCTGGTGACCTCCACCTGCACCGGGGTCCTAACGACCAATCGTAGCTAGCGAATGTGTCATGTGACGAAATGGGTCACTACAAATCACCGCCCAGAACGACGTTTGCACGCAGAGTTTGTCTCTTAAATGTAAGCAACCGGCTGTGGAACTGGCAACATAAATAATTCAGTCACATTCAACAGACTTGTGAGATAGATCAGCCGACTTAAGTCATTGGAATGCAAAACTCTGGGACACATTCGAACCGCCACCCGCACAAAGTGCCGTGCAACAAGACGTATGTAATAATAATCATCATCACACCGCGAATAAAAATATAATCCAGGGCGAGCTCCAGCTCTCCCGTTTAAAGGTACCCCGATCAGATCCCTCCATCTACAAACCCTAAGGCCATTAGGTTATCTACAAATATCCATAATATATCCCAATAAAGCTCTGCAATTTTATGAAGTCAAAAGTGATTTCCTGCTCAAATGAGCACTGAGGTGGTGTTAATCTCCTGTTTATAAACCCTGAGTCAGTGGAGAAACTTCCTCATTCCTATAAGGGTGAGACTATCCATAGGACAACCACTGTTGACTTTTATACAAAGCGGTACCCATTTCATTGACCACCCCCCCCAAGGGATGGGCTGAGTCAACTTCCAACCAGGAATTTAACCTGCAACCTTCCAATTGCGAGCCACTCGCTCCGTTTCCGAACCACCTAGCTGGATTTTATGATGCCCACTCGAAACATCTGGTGCACAGCATCAGGGATTCGGTGGCTCCAGAGCCACTGAGGTGTAGCCCTGCGAGTTGCGTCTGCTACTCCGGGGACTGGCCACAAGCTGCGCGCAACTCTCCGACGGCTCGACCTCCAAGCCCAGCAGGTTCAGAACCGCGGGCGCCGGCGACGCGTCGGAGGTCCCGTCGGATGGCATTTGTTCCCCGCGCTCATCCGACGGAACCTGATCCAGGAAATGGGAATAATCCGGCTCTCCCCCATCACGCCGGCCGCTGCTATTAACGTCACCGTCGTCTGCAGCGGCATCAAGGCTACGGTCGCCATTGCTCTGCGGGGACAGCTGCAACGGGATGAGCTCTTCCGATTGGTCATGGCGGTCTCGGTGGTTTTCGCTGCGAGCGCGAGAACACCGGAGGAGGAGGAACTGGCGGACGGCGGCGAAGGTGCAGCGTGTCGACGAGCCAGACTCGGCGTCCGAGCGGGCGTCCCCTTGCGGGTCGTAGCAGACGACCACTTCCAGGAGGTAGTACATGGCCCAGAATGAGGCCGAGCAGCCGAGCAGTGCGAGGATCTGTGGCAGCAGCGACGGGTCGGGAGACAATTGCGTACATACTTCAACGTGTGCGTTACGTATAAAAGTATTATTATTCTTGTTTACCAAGAAAAAAACCTCACTGTATGTCAAGACTCGTTTTCTGGAGTAATCCAAATTGAGTTATTTGCAGGTAATTTTTCAGAATTTGGATGTTTGGCCAATACCAGCAGAGATACAAGTTTCAGCCCTGCAATTGCTTGTTCATGCCACTTGGCGGAAGGACATCTACGAGAGGATATTTGGCCTACGATTCCACACCGGCTGTTTAATAAGAGGCGGGGGCATAACCACATCTTCACCCCGCCACACACGGCCTGCCAAGCGACAGTCATGTACCCATTTATACTGCTGGGCAGACAGAGGGCCGGGGGAAGTGCGGTCTTAAGAAACTTTCCCATCCAGCAGTGGATTGACAAAAGGATTGTACGTGTACACAACATACCACATCTAGGTCTAGAGGAGACACCCTGTTAGCTATACAACGGAATGCTGTTGTACCTTCAGAGTGTTGGGGTCCAGAAATTGAGGCGCACTGTCTGGCTGCTCAATACCCGGGTCACAGGGCAGCGAGAAAGAGTCGTTGAGAAACTCGCCGCTCATAGCTCGCGCCACCACCCTGCAGCACAAGCACAGCGGATACGGCCACAGACAAACACACTGCAGTCAACGGGTAAAGTAGCAGCCCTGCAAATGCTCGCTTCCACCACTGCTGGTGGAAGGGTGGCCGCTTCTAGAAAGAGTTTCCAGAGAGACCTAGAGCGTATTGTGTTTACTACTGCTCCATATTGGTCAGACTTCTTGGAAGAGGTGAGAGTACCCAAACTTTACCCCACCACACGCAACCTGCCAATCGACTATGGCAACACCAATTTATTCTGCTGGGTGGACAGAGGGGCCACGGTGGCGAGGTGTTACCTCCCTCGTCTGGTGTACAGGAGGTCGTGGGTTCAATCCCGACCCTGACGCTTGCTGTATATTTGGAGTTTGCATGTTCTCCCTGTGGTTGTGAGGTTTAGAATATTTGGCTCCTGTAAATGTCCACATGATAAGCCACTTCACTGGACAGTCATTTGTGGCCAGGTCGCTACTTAAAAAGAGCTACACATCTCAGTGGGCCTTACCTGGTAAAATAAACATAGGTGAGGGGGATTTAAGAAACTCACACTATTATTCCGACTGCCACACCAGGAGATCGAACTGGTGACCTCCATGCATTGCAAGTCCAGTGCACTTCCCATTACACCACGTAGCACCATCAGTCAGACACACACAATATTATAAGTCTTGCCAGAGCTTCTCTGGCTGTCGAGGACAGAATCTTTGCCATCAGTATTGTCACACTTCTAATAAAGAGAGTTCAGCAATAATGCACAATTACCCACACACACAATCGTATAAGTAACAAGTAATGTAACAATTTATATGTATACCTCTTCCGCTGCTCTATGTGTTGTGGAGTCCAGGAGTTCCCATACAGAGTGAGCTGCCATGAATTCAGCATTCCATGCACCACCAGCCCATCTGCCCAGGGGAATAACCAGAAAAGCATGCAGGGGTTGCATTTGCCTATGTGTGTTTTTTTAAAATACTGTTTGCTAAACAAGAGGCCCAAAGGCCCAAATGCTAAGTTGTCAGTAACAAACAGCACAATTGAAGGTATTAATAGATATGGAGAGTTCATACATTTCGTGAATTGAGTAAGGTTATAAAAACATATGGAAAGGAATGATGGGAGAGAATTCCAAAGTGCAGCAGTGTGAGAGAATTAAAAAAGAGAAGTGTTGTGACCTGCAGTGTGGTGATTGGGTGGCATTACTGGATGAATGAGTGGGTGAGGGTGTTGTCACCTGCGGTGTGGTGAGTGGGGGGTGAGTTACTGGGTGAATGTGTTGTGACCTGCAGTGTGGCAAGTGGGTGGGTGAGTTACTGGATGAATGAGTGGGTGAGTGTTGTTGTGACCTGCAGTGTGGTGAGTGGGTGAGTTACTGGGTGAATGAGTGGGTGAGTGTTGTTGTGACCTGCAGTGTGGTGAGTGGGTGAGTTACTGGGTGAATGAGTGGGTGAGTGTTTTGTTGTGACCTGTGGTGTGGTGTTTGAATACAGTATGGATGAGATGATGTGCATGATACATACATATCCGAGAATCGATTTCCATTTCTTAGCCTGAATTACAAATCTCAACGTCATACATGGAAAGCACAAGATGGGGCTACTTTCCACACAACTCCTGCAACACAGGTGGTACAACCATTATATTATGACGCTTATTTAGCCAGCAAAGCTTCACTGAGTCTCAAGACTCTTTTTCAGGAAGACTCTGCCAAGTTTTCGCAGAAGGGGGCACAATGTTGCTATGTACAGCATAACCCAGTTTAACACGTGGGCTTTTGCGACCAATATTATCCATAAGTGGTGTTTTGGCCTTTTTTGCACCTTGCACCCAAAAACAGCAGGATGTACATACATAATGTGCATGCGTGATGTACATACATACATCACACATGCACATTATGCATGCACATTATTACGTTGATTAACTGTGAATAACCCAGCCAATAATATCCATTGTAATTTATATGAATACATTAACCCCCCCCCCCCCCCATGCCTGGTCCTCATACCTGAGTGGCTCACAAGTGATGACATCCCATTTATCCCTCTATTGAAGACCAAAACAGCATTTATCCACAACTCTGGCTGTCCCATGAGGAGGCTGGTTGTAATTACTGGTGAAACATCGTACCTAAGAATATTGTAAATGTGGGTTTACTCTCCAACACACCAGTGGGCTGTACTAGTAATGAATTGGCATGTTCCGTTTACGTGACAAACCTTCCTAATTGGCTGTGTCGGGTGGTGGCGGGTTTAACAACACATTTATATTTACGTGATCTAACCCAAAAAACTCTATTATGGAGTCTAACTGAGTGGTCTTTATTGCATGGCTCGCAGGGCCACTGGCGGCCCCTAGTGGCCCTTTAGTGCGGCCCCCGACACAAATGCGCTGTCAAACCCCTATGGTTTAAAATGTGTGGCGGCCCTCCCATTGATGTCTTGTCAGCGAAAGTGGGCTCCCCCTCTGAAAATTAGTGAAGAACACTGGTATAACCCAACTAAGTAATATGCAAGTATTTTTTCAGCATTGGAATGTTTTGGCCAAAACCAGTTATATTTCTACGTGTAAAATGTTTTGCTAGAGGAGGAAACTGGAGATCCCAGAGGAAACCCATGCAGAACAGGGGGAGAACGTACATACACGAGGGTGTTGAAAGGTGTGGCTACATGTGCCAAGCAAATACATGAGGTGGTACATAAAAGCACATGTATGTCTGTGGCTGTGCGCATTATTACCAACATCCTGTATTTTAAGTGTGTACGTTCCGCTAGCTTCCTCTCCCCAACAGCGCAGAGTAGAAAATGTCCAGTCATAATCCTTGTTTCTATAAAAAAAAAGACAAAGATCCCCCATATAAGCTTGACAGACAGTAGAAGCAAGTGCTGTTAGCGAGCACCAATTAAGGCCGATACGGCACACAAGGGGGTGGATGGCCAGCACCATGCTCGCGCCGCCTTTGTCTCCCTAGTGGCAGTTTACACACCGCACCAGGTACTCATTTAAGGCTGAGTCGACCTACGGGAAGCCCAGAACCGGTTCAGATAATCATCACTGGTGTTGGACGTGAGCGGGAATCGAGCCTGGGTCGCCAGGTTCGTAGCGCAACGTGCTAACTGCGACATAAAAGCACACAACCCACACAGACAGTTGGTAAATCTCACTTTCATTGCAGTACTTTAACAAATAACCAGTGTCACTATTAGCTCAAATTATTTTGCGCTGAGGCCAACCAGTTATCACTCCACATTCATGTTCTGCCCCTTTTTGATACGTGCGCCTATTCACCGCTAAATGACAGCAAGCGCAAAGGTGGAATTGATTAGCTTGGTTAGGGGACCCGGTCACATGACCCTTGAGCATTTACAATATTTCATGCAGATCGATGGGTTTACAATAACATTTACAATAGGGGCGCTGCAGTGCCGAGGTGTTAACTACCTCACCTGGTATGCAGGAGGTCATGGGTTTAACCCCAACCCTGACACCTGTATATTTGGAGTTTGCATGTTCTCGCCGTGGTTGCGTGGGTTTTTTCTGGGTCCTCCGGTTTTTCCCTCCATATTAAAAATCAAAGTGCGTTTAGAGTATTTGGCTAATATAAATGTCCACATGATAAGCTACTTTATTGGGCTTTCATTTGTGGCCAGGTTGCTTCTGAGCTCAGTGGGCCTTAACTGGTTAAATTAAAATAGCTTAGTTGTTATTGTTTAGTTTAGATAGCCTACTTAGGAGACCTGGTCACGTGACCTTTGAGCATTTACAATACCTAACACAGATAAACAGGTTTGGAATCGCTGTCCAGATTGAGGGTCCTCTCGTCACATGAACCTTGGAGAGGCAGGGCCAGCCATTTGAAGATGCAGTCTGCACATTTTAGCTCTGTAAGTCTGTGTTAATCTAGCCAAACTGCAACCTTGCAAATACAATACCACAGTTGAGTGGTGACGGCCACGCTCATTAAACGTAGAAAGTGGTGGCGCAGTGGTTAGCGCACCGCGCTTCGAAGCTAACTGACCCAAGTACAATTTCTGCTCACAGCCAACGTCAGTGACAAATATCTGAAATGGTCCTGGGCCTTCCCGAGATTGACTCAGGCATTGGGGGAGACAAAGGAAAAACAGGCGTGGCGCTAGCTATCCACCCCCTCACATCACGTGCCGCAACGGGTCTGCTCAGCTATACGCGGAACCTTTGTCTTTTGTTGCATTGCTACAGACCGGTCGAGGGTCCGGCGCGTGGCCATAGTGGACGTGGTGCCGCTGGGACACGCGAGCTCGATGAGGAGGTTTCCGCGGAACTCGTGGCTAATGACCACGTGCAGGGCCACATGCTCCAGCGTCACCAGGTCCCCCACCGACAGATTGCTCACTGTGAGAAGGGGGGGATGACAGACAAAAACAAAGGTCTCCCGTATAGCCTCGACAGGCCGTTGGGGCGAGTGCTGTGAACGAGCAATCCCCCAATGAAGGCCGGTACGGCGCACGAGGGGGTGGTGTGGCCAGCGCAGTGGATGGCCACCACACCAGGTACTCATTTAAGGGTAACCGGGATTGTATAAATAGAAGCAAAGTGAGGGTAGATTGCATGGAGGAAAACTGCAACAGCACTGCGCACTCACAAATAATGTCACTGACACTTCTTTCGAGTACAAAATAAAACGACAAATTACATTGCTCCGCAGGTGTAAAGACATTTGAAATGCCAGCGGCACATCATTCTTGCCGTTTCAAGTGTATACGCAAATGCACGTGCCCTTCTTCTGGGACGGCACATGCGGTTGAAACCAATTGAACCGGGCCATGCTGCGCAGGTGCAGTGGGGCGTTACCATGCAGACTGGATGAGAGCACGGCAGGGAAAGGAGGGATGGCCTTGTTCTCCGTCTGTAGCTCGGAAGTGAATGAGCGCAGGTATGGCACCGTCTCCCACACCTGACACACACACACAGAGGGTGCGTTTAGGCCAACGGCCGAAATCACCATCATCATCAACCAGGGCCAATCCACTGCTGGATGAAGGCTTCACCCCAAGCTGCCACCTCTTACAGTCCTGCAATGCAATAATCCATCCTCTTGGACGCACTCCATTCCTCGGCTGCCACTCCCGTTATTATTCTTGACCACTGTCGATCGTCCCTTCTAGCCGTGACATATCCTACCCAAGCACACTCGCCTGTGTCGACAGCTTGGATAACATCATGAACATGCGTACGTTATCGACTCAAGCGAGCGATACGAGTGTAAAAGCCTGAGAGAAGAGAGACACAATTAACGAAGGAGCAGGGACCAAGAGACGGGCACAAGGAGTGGAGCGGGAGGGGTTAGAGCTGAAGGGACGGCAGCAGCAGCGAGACGATGTCACAGCATTCGGAGGCCATAATGTAGGAAATAAAAGAGAACGGGGGGGTGGGGGGCGGGAGGTGGGGCTCTACCCAGCAGTAACAACAACAACAATGTAAATACCGCATTGGGATTTACGCCGGAACAAGTAGTGTACCTAGGGCCAGTTCACTCTGCAGGATGAAGGCTCGCATTAGCAATGAAAAACTGAACAGTTACTAAACACCCGTATACGTATAAGGGCGACCACTATGCATAACAAGTGTTACGGGCTGCTGCTCTGATAAGGGCAGTGCAGAAAAATTCATTGTTGTACTATACTATGCTCTAATGTTATGCTCCCCACTTTCACCAACCCGCACTGAACGGCGCAGTGAAGTATGGACAAATATCCCTGTGACCCCCGCACAACGTGAGGGGCCCTCATCCAACGGTGGCGTTGACAAAGGGTTGTAAATGTAGATGAATACAAATATATTTTACGAAAAAAACGCAAAGGAGGATGTGGGGATGCGGCGTTACCTTGGCGGCGTTGACGAGACGCCACGCATTGAGAACTCCAAAGCCGTACTTGTGACTGTGGTGAAACCCAGCTAGATTTTCATCCCACTCCGATAAATATTCATCAACCTAGGAACAATAATAATATCGTATTTGTATACATAGGTATCAGTCGCCCAAATTGCAGACCGAAACGCTGCAGAATTTGCAGCACATGCAGAGTTTTGGCAAGGAGAAGGGATAAACCACAGACACGAAGGCAGCCAGGACGGGCATGTTGGGCCAACTCCACGCATGAGTGTTTACAAGGGGGAGGGAGCAAACTGCGGGGGTAGCTGTCCCAGTGCAGCAGAAAGTGCACACAGCACCGAGGGGGGGGGGGGCAATGATGCTATGTTACTTTTCCCAATTAAGTAATTTGTGAGTAACATATCAAATTCGGACCATGTTGTCGGCAAAACATGGCCTACTCTTTTAAGAACACAGGATCCATAACTCCCGTAGCTGTGAAGTGGAAGGTGCATACAGTTCATGGTTAATACACACTGCGGTATTAAACAGGGAGGCCGCCGGCACCGAACCTCTGCAGCAAATGCCAGATGTGCGACTGCCGGAACACATCACCGCCCGCCCCTCAGAAGGCACATGTTCCACAATAACGCAGCATGAAGGTACCATGATGGAAGTGTACAATAACAGAGCGACGGTACCATGACGGAGGTGTAAACGATCAGGTGCTGGGCATCTCTCCACGTGAGGCACGGCCTGGCCTGTAGTGCAAGTGCTAAGATGGCGGCCGCCAGGGGGGCGGCTGCAGACGTGCCTGTGTGACCCTCAGTGCACCCCGACCCCTGGCCTCCAGTGATGTCGCAAGTGACCTGACAAGATGAAGGAGGTACAAGACATCGTTATCGGACTTCATAGTTTTGGAACGGAGTACATCCACACTGGTTCACAGAGGAAATGGAGCAATTACATAAGCTATTGTGTAGGTGCTGGGTGGATTATTACAAAGCAGGACCATGAGAGATGGTGGCAGTTTGGGGAGGAAGCCCTTCACTGGACTGACCATGGCTGATGATGTTGGTAATGAAAGAGTTGGCAAAACAGGCCATAGCAGCACCCTTCCCAAATAATTCATAACTGGCCAGGCTTTTCTGGCTAACTGAAAGCTGAACTTTCCATTATTATCAAATGCTGGACCATAGCAGAAAGAAGTGTCACCCAGTGTGGTGCAGGGTTATATGTACAATGCTGTCCTCACTGGTGCATGCATAACAATCAACATCACTGTCATATTTGCATTCATATGTATTTGCTTTAATGGCTCAGCAACTCAAAGTGCCCTTATGTCACAGCTCCAGTGGCAGCTGTCCCTGTATGGCACAAGGGGACCCAGTACCTGGACAGGCAACCGGTATGGCATTAGTCTGCCAGTAGAAGGTGGTGTTTTGCTATGTGTCATTGCAACTGAGTCAATTGGAGTGTCATTTTCAATATTTGGACCATGCCACCGGCACACAATGGCCTACTCGTATCGAATATCGGGGGGAGGGGGGGCAGGGATCTTTAACGTCCACTGAGCAGACGGATCCTATTCACGGTTAATACATCCGCAGTAATAACCATGGTGGCCTGCTGGATTCAAACCACGAACATCTGCCAAAAAGAGGCAAATACGCTGCTGTGTAACCACTGCGCAGGGCAATACGTACGATGCTGCGCTGCCTGACATCGCCGCTGCTGAAAGTCACACCCATCATGGCGGCGCACTCCTCGGCATAGAAAGGCATCCCTCCATTCTCGTCCACCGCCCCTGAGCACCACACAGCAGGACACCGACGACGACAATCACACACCATTGTCACCACCGCAGGATTTAACCCCAGCGTCAACGCGTGCGGTCTACCCCTCTTTACAAATCGACATCAATGCTTCTACTCGATACCATCCGGTAATAGAGCGGAATCTGTTCAACAGGCCTCACTCTGCTGATGAGACCAAGTCCTTGCTTGCATTAACAATGCTGCTTGATAACATTTGTCTGGAAAACTGCTAACCTGATAGATAAAAATAATATTATTATTATATAAATGTAGAGAGACGGAATGGGGTTCTGCTTCTGTTTTCAAACATGGGAGTCTCATCACAGGATTGGCTGTGATGTGCAGATACCCAAGAGATACATATTTGTTACTTGCCAGTTATCAGCATCATCAGCCACTGTCAGTCCACTGTGGATAAAGGTCTCCCCACGCCGTGTTGGTCATAGGAGTTGTTTGACCATATTGTACCACGCTGGACAATATGGATCGGTAAAGGCGGTGCCTCGGACTAGTTCCCACACTGTTCACAATTTTACAATTGCTCTTGCTGAAAAGTGGTCTTATGCAAACCTTGGTAAACGGTCTATCATCATATTCCCGATGCAAAATTTGTTGCACTGATTAGGCACCGATTCATCTCAAGCAGGTAGCTTACCAGCCTAGGGCTCTGGAGAAAGCTGAAATCCTAGTGCCACACTTGGTCAGCTCTGAATTATCCTTTATAACCAGCAGTCTCATCACCAGCTGTGGTTCATGAGCTGCACCTCTCAAGAGAGGTTGTTGTTGTTCAGTGCTAGTGCACATAGTCCCAGTGTATCACAATACACTCGCTTTAAGCCACATGGCCGCCCTGGTGGACACCGCGGGGTGAGTATTAACGATAAGTACGTGTTGTCAGCTTCACAGTGGATGCGAATCATTCCGTGACGTCGTGGTGTGAATTAGCAATTTCGGAAAATTACCCAAACATTACTTAGTCGGGAGAATATACAGCAATTATCATCTCCTGTTGCAAACCAATGCAGACTGTAATTGCTCAGGAAACTTAGCGCCTTCGTGATAGCTTGGTGCTATAAGGATGGCACAAATTATTTGATTTGATAAACAGTCACAGCCATGCTGTGGAAGTCGGCGGTGTCCGACTTGTGAACAGTTCCCGGAGGTTAATGGGGATATTAAAGGCAGGATCCACGCAGTTCACCCCCCCCCCCCACTCGTCACGGATAAGTGGAAATATACTGCACTACGTCGCTGCAGGCCACTGACTCAGTACCGAGCCAACTTCGATGCGTGTGTGAACCTAACAATAGATTTTATTTGGTAAATCTAAAAGCTGAACAAGTTGGCCGCTCACCGATAGTGATTGTGTATATGGAGTTGGCGTAGCCGTCGTAGTTACAGTTGTCCTGGTATCGACCTCCGTTGCCACTGGCGACCACAAATATGGTCCCAAACCCACGGCGGCCGCCCACGACTCCCCGCTGCAAGGCGCTCTGGGAAGCCAGGTGCACAACACACACAGTGGACATCATTCCAGCACGAACCACACGACACTCACAGTCCACTCCTCAGTGAGCAGTTTGTAATAATAATGTATCATTTGTACCGCACATAATCTGTGTTGCCTCTCAGAGAGCGAAAATGTTTCGGATGCACAAGAAAGCACAGACAAGCGACAAGGCAGCCAGAACCTGCACCAGAAAATTGCCCAATCTCTGTGGTCCTATACTGGAACATCTGGCCAACTCCATTCATTCGTGATTATAGATGTGGAAGGAAAGCTGGAGTACCACACACGTGCGAGGGGAGGGGCAGTAATACTCCTTGTACAGATGGAATACAGATGGAAATTAATTCACTTGCTGTACTGCCATCGTACCCTGGCTAGCCAGAAAATTATGACCAACGCCCACGTGTAAGAAGGGAGTTTCTCAACTGTGTGTGTAATCCACCCACCCTCGTTTCCAAAGTGCAGCATAGCCACAAGCGCTGTGCAACTTGAGCGCGTGTATCTGAATCGTTTTCCCTAGATGTTCGTGCAACCGGTTGTCAGCAGTTTATTATAAGTTATTGTACGTAATTAATCATTATAATTATTAGTTGCACAACCTGTTGCTTACAGACTCCACTTGCACAGGTAAGGCCCACTGAGCTATGTAATGCTCTTTTTCAGAAGTGACCTGGCCACAAATGATAGCTCAACGAAGTCATTTATCACGTGGAAATTTATAGCAGCCAAATACTCTAAAGGCACGTAGATTCTAAATGTGGAGGGAAAAACTGGGGGACAAAGAAAAAAATCCATGCGACCACGGGGAGAACACGCCAACTCCAAATATACAGAGGCATAGGGGTTAGCATCAAACCCATAACTTCCTGAATACCAGGCGAGGTAGTTAACATCTCACCACCACAGCGCCCGTCCTCGGCGTTGTGACTGTGCGTGAGACACGTTACCTGGCCGAGCACGTGAGGTCCATCCACCGTCTTTCCGTCATCATCGGGACCCCAACTGAAAGGCACATGAAGCTTGACCGGTTTACCGTCATGGATAACAACCCGCAAAGACCAGCGTGGTGAAGTCTGGTCAAAAACAGAAAGGCATTGGAGTCCTTCATCCAGCAGCGGATTAATACAGGGCTATGCATACATCCATTTTAATGTGCAATTTTATTAAGGGACTGTGTGTTATCTTGGTGTAGTCTGGGACTGTTTTTGTATTGCTGCCTTGCCCAAGATTGCATTTGGGGTGGAACAATCAGCAGGAATTGATGTACATTTGCAATTTGTACTTATATATTGGATTTATTTATATTTAGTGACTTGCTTACCCTTCCTATACTTTGCACTCCTATCGTGTTTTTGTGTTGTTTGCTGCTGTAACTTTCTGACCCAGTGCCCCTACCGGATATCTGCGAAAAAAAGCTTCATAGCTCATCGGATTCTTCCAGTCTAAAATAACAGAATCGTCAGAATCTTTATTTAGAGTCGTGCATCCTGCAGGTAGTGTATTGTACTTGGTATTGTAGTGTTCAGGAAGCAGTGCGAGACGTGGTACGTGTGGGGTTATTTATTATTTATCATTCATACTCTTGTTTGCCCAGCAAGGCGTCATGGGGTCTCAAGGCTCTCGTCCAGGAGGGTCCTGCTAAGTTTACACAGAAGGGGGCGATGATGCTGCTGCTGTGTTTAATCCCAAATGTGGCCTTCGTAGATACTACTCACCAAAAGCACTTGCCCCGACAGTCTGTTAAGGCGATACAGGCGATCTTTATCTTTGATCCCAATTCAGAAATATGCAGGTAATTTTCCAGCATTGGAATGTTTGGCCAATACCAGTTACATTTTATGTTCTGATTTGAAGCTTTCATGACTGCAGGAATCCACTCTTTGTTACTTTCGGTAAAGTCACGTAGGTATAAAATAAAATAAATCACTATTATTTTATACCTACGTGACTTTACGGAAATAACCAGAGTATTTTACGTTTTCTTAAGCTATAAGAGCAAAGCAGAGAACCCAGTCAAAATCAACAAAAGAACAGAGTAAGAACACAAAAAACTCCACACAGAAAGGCACCCGAGACGTGAACCAAACCCAGGCCCTTCTTGCTGCGAGGCGCGAGCGTCACTGCTGTGCCACCCTGCCGCCTGGTTATAACGCGCGGGCAAGTGGGCATTACGAGATGTGGCTTGAAATACAAATTGCCCAGTTGCGGTAACGTTGCTGTGCCTACCTGCAGCTGTAGATGTGGTTGAGCTGGTAGTGTGTGTTGAATGCAGTGGCCTCCATGTGATCAGTCAGGGGCCCATCCAACAATCTGATCCCTGCAATCACACGTACGCACGCACACACACGACAGTTGTTATGCAGTCATTAAAAGGGGGGTGGTGACGCGGTCGAGCGGTAGCGCGTTCGCCGCTTGTTACGGAGGTTCACCATTTGAGTTTGGTAGCCCCCAACTGAAGGAACGTGAAGTACGCACGTATGTATAACTTCTTTCACACCGTACATAGCCAACCGTGCTAATCGGGAGGTGCGGGGGAAGGACAACAACATTTTTTTAAGCGCTGCTAGTGGGTGGCCAGGTTTGACTCGTGGAGGGCGTCGTACGAGGTGTGCGGCACTTGCGGCATGTTTTGTTGTTCAAACGGAGTTGCTGAGCACAGGCCCGAAATGTCATGTGGCCAACAACAAACACGGCACTCTATCTCGATTGCTGAACTCATTTGTGGGAATTGTTCAAACTCACCGCCGTGAACTAAAACAATACGAATCAGCGCGTGGTTAAGACGCTTGTACACCGTGTGGAAATTGAATTGGTTTGGCTGTGTCGGGTAGTGGAGGGTCCTGATGACAGATTTGGTCGAGATCAAATAACACTATGTAACACAATTTTTGTTCCTGGGTAGTAAGTGTTATTTCGTAATTGCTTATGCCTAAAAAGTATAGAAAATGGCTATTATTCCCCACAAACTTAGCTTTTGTGACCAGGACAGTGATATTTTGAAATTTTACTATTTTCAATGAGAAAACAGGCAAATTTGTGTCTTTTCCTTCACATAAAGTCAGAAAAAAACAACATGAATCAAAATTAACATGTATTTATACTAAAGTAATACAAAAATGACAACAAAAGATTTCAAAATGAGTAATTTTTCGAGATTTACGATTATACTGTAAATCACTTTCACGAATCAGCCCCCAAATGTAGCCTCCCATCATGTTCTCGTTATACTGTCCTTGGTAGCGGCGTTCAAAGTCCAGTATATCCTGGTGGAAGCGCTCGCCTTGCTCATCCGAATACGCTCCCATGTTCTCCTTGAATTTATCAAGATGAGCATCAAGTGGTTCACAATCGATTATTATAATCGATTGTGAACCACTGTTAACGTTGTAATGGATAAGGGTTGGCACGTTTCTTGAATTGAGCAAGGTCATAAAAGTTTGGGAACATTCACACTGCTATTTACTTAATTTGAAAACTCGTGGCAAGTGTCGCCCCCCTTCTGTGAAAACCCGGCAGGACCCTCCTGAAAAAAGTCCTGAGAATCCGTGAGGCTTTCCCGTACAACAATAATAATGCATGCATTGCTTTATAAATACAATTCAAATTCCAACTGGGGATCAGCCAATCATCTTTATGGAGGTCGATAAAATAAATAAGTACCACTTTGTGGGTAAGTCATCTATGGTTGCCCATGTATAGACTCACCCCCACCATCGGAATGTGGAAATTCCACCACCGGTTCAGGGCTGTGAAGAGGAGATGATCACCTCCTCAATGCTCATTTCAGCAGGAACTCACTTTAACGTTTGTAATTAGCTCAAATTAAAATTCCTGGTGCGGTTTTGGGATTGATATCTGAACCGGTCCTGGGCACCACCATTTGCAAAAAAAAACTAGGAATCCCTCTGACTTCAGCTGCCAAATGGTTTGTCTGGACCCCCGCCACGGTAATGTGGAAATAACCACCGGCTCAGACCATAAGAGGTTTTTTTTTGGGTTAGATCACATAAATGTAAATGTGTCATTTAACCCGCCACCACCCGAGACAGCCAATTAGTAAGGTTTGTCACATAAACAAAACGTGCCAACTAGTTACCAGTTAAGTAAATCGGTGTGTTGGAGATTAAACCCACAACATTAACAATTCGAGTACCGTGACATTTCGCTGGACCACCGAACAACCGATCGAACGAGCGCAACGCGGGGAACGCACCGGCCACCCGGGAGCCGTAGGCCGCACCGACGCCGCACAGCGAGTTGTTGGCGACAGCGGCGATCTCACCGGCACAGCGCGTGCCGTGCCGGCTCTCTTGGTCGCCGGTGCCCGGCCGTGGGTCCTGGTCTCCGTCGGTGAGGTCGTAGCTGCCCTCAGCACACTGGGACACACACGTGACATGTGCACATGTTACCTGCGCGCGTACGTGAAGTATCGAGATGCCACTTGCGTGCGGTGTTTAGTGACCTGGGCTCAATTCCCAGCCGCAAGCCAACTACGTCAGCGGCGAGTGATATCTCCGCTGGTGCTGAGCCTCCACTATGTCGTCCCAGCCTTGAATGAGTATCTGATGCGGTGTGTAAACATTAGTGCAGAGGAGACAAAGTTGGCCAGGAGCGGCGTTCGTTGCACCACCCCCTTACGCACTGTGCCGTCCTTAACACGGGCTCACTAACCGCACTTGCCCCATCAATCTATGTAGGCTATACAGGGGATATTTGTATTTATCTTTGTGTGCTGGTGTGGTGTGTGTGCACGCAAACACGTACATAGTTGCTCTGAAGGTCCGGAAGGGTGTGCTCCACCCCATCGTCCACCACCGCCACCACCACCCCCTTCCCCGTCACCCCTCTCTCCCACACCCCTGTCACGTTCAAATCCATTCCGGGGGTGTGCGTGTTTCTCTGCGCGAAAAAACAAACGTGAAATACACTGTTAGGGACACCAACCAAGGCTGCATTGTTAAACACGACCCCAATGCCCTGCCCAACGAGCCACTGGTTGCAGTTGAGAGCGTCGACACGCCAACAAGTTCGCTGCTTGTTGCAGTGGTTCACAGTTTGAACTCAGCAGGCTGCCCTGGCTATTACCGCGGGTGCACTCATCATAAATACATGCCGTCTGCTTCACAGTGGACATTACAGATACCATGTGTTACTCAAAACAAGTAGGCCATTGCGTGCCGGCGTCGTGTTCCAAACTTGCCAAATTAGACAAATTACCTACAAATTACTCAATTGGCATGATGCATAGCTATCCTCACCCCTCTCTGCCAGATTAATGCTCCACTTGCAGGCTGGTTGGCGATGAGTCACCTTGTGCCGCACAGGGACTGAAGCCACTGGGGTTGCCCTTCAAATATTTGAGATGAGATTTAAGGCGCTTGAGTTTCTGAACCATATAAATAGAAAAATTATTATCACTATTACACGATAAGATAAAGAACCCCGTATAGCCTTAACAGGCTGTAGGAGCAAGTGATATGAGCAAGCACCTATGAAGGCCAGCACAGCACACGAGGGGGGTGGATGGCCAGCACCACACCAGGCCGCCATTGTCTATCAAGTAGCGATGTTTACACACCGCACCAGGTACTCGTTTTTTGAGGCCGAGTCGACCTTGGGGTCGGCCCAGGTCCGGTTCAGATAGCCGTCAATGGTGTTGGCCCTGAGCGGGAATTCAACTCGGGTTGCCGGGTTCATAGGGCAGCGCGCGAACCGCAACACACTACCGCTCACCCCAATGATAGACATACACACACCCACACATTCTATTTCACGTACCAGGTGCCACTGTTTGGGGAATTTTGGGTCGTTAAACGGGAGGCTGCGTTTCACTCGACGTAATCCTTTTTGCTCCACAGACCACAACACAGCTCGGTGCTGTCGCAAGGCATCGTGGGTCGTCTTCCGCGCATTTCCGCTTAAGCCTGCGAGGGGTGCACAGAGTGGCCGCGGAGTGCAGCTGCGTTACGGACGGCAAGTTTGTAAATATTTTTCAAGTTTCAGAGGTGTGTCAAGTTTATTTTGTTTAACTGGGCGAGAACTCAGGAGACGATGAGAGACTCATTAGCAAGTCACGCCAATGTCCCCTGGTGGGGAACCGCACTGCGTGTGTTGTTGCACCAAAGTAAATGTAAAATGGCCAACCCGCCATACTAGGGTAATCTCATTCGAAATTAGTTTTTGTTTCATAATAAAAAATATAATTGGCATGTTAATTTGCGTTTTCGCAGCCAATGTTTACGGCTCATCATTTGTTTTGGTGGAGGTTGTTGCATTTGGGCATTTTCAGATATTTGTGACATTTTAAAACATTTCCTACTGGAGAGATTTTGGAAAGCACATGCCAACACCTCCTCCCTGTGCTGGGGCTGTTTTGCTGAAGTTCGAATTTGGCTCAGTCTCTTACAACTTTTTCCAGATTATACGTTTATTTTAAAATTGAGTTTTAGGTCAAATACATTCCAAGGATAAACAAAATGACGAACAATATTGTGCATGGCTATGGAAGACAAGATCTGTTTGATGATGGAAGACAAAAATGTACACATTAAACCTAAACTATGTAAAAAAAGTATAAATTTGATTTCCTGCTCAAATGAGCATTGAGGCGATGCTCAGCTCCTGTTTTCAGCCCAAAGTTAATAGTGGAAATGCCACATTGCTATGGCAGGGGTGTGTATGTATGTTGAACATCTTTCGTATGTAGCCAACCGTGCTAATCGGAAGGTGTGGGTAAATATTTCCATAGGATCACTTTTGACCTTTTCACAGTGATATGTATTTTATGGACCCCGCAGGATGATGAGCCGAGTCAAACTATGTGGGTCATACATGATTGTCATGGTGAAATTGCGTACCATGTGCAACACTGACATTCACATCAACGCTAGCAGTTTGGAACACCTATAGCTGGTTCGTGACAGGGGCACACCTGTGTGCGGGTGTGAGTAGAGGTAAGTGCCCGTCAACTCTCCGATCTGCCCGTGGTTCTCCAACCCAAGTGACGCGGCCACGTCTCGGGCGAGGCGGTCGAAGCGGGCGCGTGTCTCCTTCTCGCGAACGTGCCACTGCACCTCGTGGCGTCCGGCGGAAGACCGCGAGTCCGATCCGAACTCCCCGTGAGACGGCAGACCCGAACGCCGACCCTCGACCTCCGGGCCGCTCGGTTCGGGCGCCACGTCCCGCTCGTCGTCCGCCGACGGAAGGCGCAATCGGGCGGCTAAGAGGAGCCGCCCGCCCGCCGGCAGGCTAGCGGCGTGTTGCGGTCCCTGTCCCCGCAGGGAAGCGATGCCGACGAGCAGCGCGCAGCCGAAGCACAACAGCGAGAGGGGGAGGCACAGCGACGCCAGCCTCCAGCGTGGCGGGTGGCTCGGCGGCGGAGAGGGGCGGGCCTTGGCTGCCATCTTACATCGGCCATTTTGACTCTTCTTTCAGCGTCATAAAACCATCACCGCACTGTCGAAGAGAAAGACAAATGCGGAGTTTCTATAAAGTTATTTGTACGTGTGGTTGATTATTTTCTTGAAAATGTAGCATGTTGTTGAGAAGCATTGAAAACGAATTTCTTTAAAACTGCTTAGTTTGTTGTCCTTCCCCCGTACGATGCGAAAGAAGTTCAACATACATACATATACAGTAATCCCTCGCCACTTCGCGGTTTAAGTTTCGCGGCCTCAGTGCATCGCAGATTTTTCGAACTGATTTAAAGGCCTCATTATACCTGTGCAGTAACACCATCATCATCATCATTCATCATCACATTCATCGAACTGCACAGGTCTGTCATCGTCGTCATTGTCATCGTCATTGTCGTCGTCGTCATTACTGGAGTCAAGTCTCAAGATACTACTGTCATTGGTGAGTGTAGAACACCATAATACGTATCGTATGAGAGAGAGAATGTATAATATTAAGGTTTTATAATTAAATAGATTTAAGTAAAATATATATATATAAAGTATAAATATACATATTTTAAACATTCTGGTACCCACACACACATAGACGGAAATTCCTAGGGGGCCAATCCTACTTTGCGGATTTTCACCCATCGCGAGGGGTTCCGGTCCCCATTAACCGCGATGAACGAGGGATCACTGTATATTCAATACATATTACAAGGTTATGGTGGTTTCTGCATCCCGCTTAAGCCAGAGATTAACACAAGCGTCCATAATTTATCCCCAATTTTGCAGTCACTTACCATAAGTGGCCGATATTACGGCTGGCGTAGCATTAATGTGCAGAGCCACACGCCCCCAACCACTTTAGTTCACGAATGTTCACACGAACTGCACCAGCAACTACTACCAGCAGTGACTCATCCTGCTGGTATAGGAGGCATACATGGCTTAGAAGGGCACTCACGTGGCGAGTGCTGGACACCACTCCCCATGCGTGCCCTACGCACAAGACGCAGCACTCCCCCCACAGTGAACTCTACACAAATGAGCAACGGCAAACAGCAACCTCTGCAGAAAGCTTTGCTTGTGTTGGCTGGCGTAGTTTTTTTGTGTGTATGTAATAATGGTTACTTATATAATAACGAGGGTCATGCTACATTGGAATGTTTGGGCCACGGCAAGTGACATTATACATGTCTGGCTATGGGAGAAAACTGGAGAACCCCGAGGAAACTCATGCAAAACAGGGAGAGAATGTGAAAGCTCGGTACAGAAATGTACCCGAGCGGCATTGGTGCCGTGCCATAAACAGCCCCCTTATCTGCCACTTATATTATCCGCAGGCACGGTCGGGTCCGCACAAACTCCCCGCATCTGCGGGCCTATTCTTCCTGTATACTCTAGAGTACGTTACGGCGAATAATATTGCGCAGTCCACAAGGAAACTTTTGATGTGCAATGTATGTTCCACACCTCCGATCGTGAAAATGCTCGTTTCAATAACAGTGCCTCGGGGTAAATGAAAATATCGTACAGTATGATGTGTTTGGGATATGGCAGTGGCTTCGGGAGGACTCCGTCCAGCCAGTGGCTTGACCACGGTTGATTTTAATCGTGTACATGTTTTTTAACACAACAATTAAATGTAAATTTGAAAAAAGATATAGGAATCACTAAGGATTTAACAGTTTTCAGCTAAGATGTAGTTCGGAGATCGCCGGTTCAATTTAACCTTCCCGGGCGGGCAGTTGAAACCATGGGGCAAGTTTTTTTTTGGGTCATCACCGAGCTTCCATCTTTCATAAAGTACAGGCAAATATAGGTCAACAACAAGAACACGTTCTAGTCATTGTGTAAGCACGTTAAAATGTGTACAAATTAGCTTAACATGCTTAAGCTGTTTTTGGCTTAGCGCCACTGACGGCAATAAGCTTGGCTTTGAAACGGGGAAGGGGGGGGGGGCAAGCGTCACTGGCAGCTTTACACCAAAACTTTGGGAGCGGCAAGCCAATAGACTGCCACTCGTTTTTGTTTACATGGGAAGATGCTCAGTGAGATCTTTGTGCTGCCCTGTGATGAATAACGCATTCAGCCGTCAGACTTCAGGGACAGCCCTGCAATTTCTTGCTGGAGCCACTGGTGGCGGAAGGACCTCCAATAGAGAGAACTCAAGAGAGCCACTCTCGAGAGAACAGTACTTGGCCTACTGCAAGAGGTGAGAGTACCCAAACTGTACCCTACCAGATATGACCAGCCTGCCGATCAGCTGACTCGTGTGCCCATTGATACGGAGTGCCACGGTGGTATACAGCAAGTCGTGAGTTTGGTCCCGATCCTGACGCCTGTATATTTGGATGTTGCGTGTCTCTTCCTGTGGTCACATGGATTTTTCTCTGGGTCCTCAGGTTTTTCCCTCCACATTTAGAATCAACATGCATTTAGAGTATTTGGCTGCAATACATTTCCACAGAAGCTACTTCATTAAGCTACTATTTGTGGCCAAGTTGCTTCTGAAAAAGAGCGACACAGCTCTGTGGGCCTTACCTGGTAAAATTAAAATAGTTTATAGTTTAGTTTATGTACGTATAGTCAACTCTTTCGCACCATACTGCTGGATGGACAGAGGCGGGGGGAATTATCTAAACGTTCCCCATTTTTTTAAAGTTTCAACTGCCTCGCCGGAAGATGGAATGGAACCTGGGACATCTTTGTTGCAGGCCCATTGTGATGGCCGTCACACGACGGTGGCGTCCCTGCATACTGTACTGAACGTATGTAAAGTAAAACAAGTTGGTGAACGTGCGAAAACAAAAAAGATGTGAGAGCAGGTTATATGAACATCGTACCAATTGGCTAAGGTGCTCGGGACATCCTGAAAAGGACTAAAATTATAACGAGTGGGCAACTGAAAACTGCCTATCTATGTAAACACTTGTTTAAATAGTTTTTTTTTTACCGCTGTTCAAACAATACATATAAGTAAATTGCCCATGGACAGCCTCCACACAGTGATCCAGACACAACGCAAATAGCAGTACAGCGGGCTTTATAAAGGTTTTTGTAAGCTAGGTTAAGCAATGTACAAATAATACCCTTATACATAACATACACACTGGGCACCATGAAATAAAACTATACCGCACAAGTTATCTGGGGGCATGCATGCCTAGCTCTCTCTACCTTAAAGCACAGATGAAAGTGTAAAAACTTTTACACTTGTTCAGGTTGTGAAAAGCAAAGGTGCAGCCATGCAATTGCTTACGCACACTACTGCCGGCAGAAGAGCCTCCACTATTTGGCCTACTCTTCCACGCTGGCTAGTTGTCTTGAAATAGATTGGGAATACTCACACTTTACCCCACTGTAAGGCTCCAATAAAGAGGAACCGTCACAGGCTAATACGGCGTGGGACGAGCTCGATCCACTGCTGCTGTGCGACGAGAGATGCCAGGCATCAACCTCGAGCGAAGAGGCCAGGCAGCACAAAGGGCCACGTCTTCGAGGGCTAAAATATGCACACAGTTCCCACACTTCTCACCACCAATCTTGAAGGCTGAGAAGTGAAGTAATTCCTTGTGTATAACGCTGAACGATGTTTCGTCTTATAACAACAGAGTCATGACTGCAAATTGCATCTCACAATACGTTCAGAAGCCACAGACAATCTATAAGGCAGCCAGGCAGTGTAGAGCTGGCGCCAACAATTGTGAATGCTCTGCCGTCCTCTGTATATTGAGATGTTTTCAGCCAATCAATGAGTGTTCATACATGTCGAAGGAAGCCGGAGCACTCGGAGAAAACACAGGCGTGAGAGGGGAGCACGCGTGTATAAAACAACACCACACTATGCACGGTTTTAGTTTACATCTCCCTCAGCAGCACCTGTAGAGAATAGGCATTGTACCCTACATGGGAACGATGTACACATTCACCCTGATTAGAGTTCATCAGCAAAGTACAGTCATAGGAACCTACATCACTATGTGCCAGTTTAATGTAAAAAAACAGATACCATCAGGACAGCATAACCCCTTCTACTGTATTGCCCTAAGTTGTGCCTGGGCTCCTCGAGATAATAAATATGATCACGCACTGTCGACTCTTTTCTACTGCACAACCTGGAGACGCCTGGTTGTTGTTTATCCACTGCAGAAGCCGAGCCGTGCCGCTCACGTCACACGCAACGTACGAGTTGAGATGCCATGGAGCTTGACGCCGCGTCCTCACAGTGGATTTGACTTATGTCACGTGCGACACACGGGAGTATTATCCACGCCGCCCCTGGCCCTGTTTGACCCCCGAGCACAGATTCAGACATGTGTCATGAGGCGAGCGTTTCACGGTTTAGTTCCGGTTCAGCTTCGCAAATAAAACGACCCATACGACAAGAGAGGGCCCTGCGCTGGCGCAGCTCAGATTCGCCGATGGAACAGGGGTACGACAGTCCTCTCTAAAAGCACGACCTGGAACGACTTGGATATTAAACAAGTCCACCTGCACTGAACTACTAAACTGAACTTTGTATTTTACCAGGTAAAGCCAACTGAGCTATATATTGCACTATTTCAGAAGTGACCTGGTCACAAATGATAGCTCAAAGTGGCTCATCATGTGGAAATTTATCGTAACCAAATACTCTAAACGCATGTTTTTAAATGTGGAGGGGAAAACCGGAGGGCCTGGAGAAAAATCTACACGACCACGGGCAGAGAGACGTGCAAACTCCATAGGGTTGGGATCGAACTCATAACCTCCAGTATACCAGTCGAGGTAGTTAACATCTCACCAATGTGGCTTCCAATTAATGAAGACAAAGCATCATCTTTTACTGCCACGATCCGAAGGTGACGATATGCACCGAAACAGTGTCCCGCGATGCGTGTCAACTTGTGGCCCAGTTTTCAACGCACAGTGTTGGCCTTCGTAAGCACGGCACAGAGTGGATGTGTGGCCTCCACCTGCACACATTTCCCAAGTGTGGAATGCGTGTCCTGCATACGAGGTCGATTCAGGCAACTTTGTTTTTGTTAAACAAAGTTTCTGAGCACGTGCCCAAATGCCCAATATGTTTAGAGGCCAGCAACAAGCAGCACCACTATCAAAGTTGTAATGGATAAGAATTTTCACGTTTGAGCAAGGTCATAAGAAACCTTGAAAAAAATGTTAAGTATGGCAGGGAATTTCAAAAGTGACACAGCTCGAGGGAATGAGCAGGAAGAGAAGTCTGGTGACCTGCGGTGTGGTGGTTGAACCCACTGTGCTTGAGGTGAATCAGTCTGGAAGACCAAGTCCTCAACATGGGCGGAGGAGCCAAGGAGTGAAGTTCACAGGAACCATCGTAGTCGTGATAGACGAGAGGTAAGGAGCCGAGAGGTAAGGAGATGACTGACTGCCCGTGAGCGAGTGAACGGAGTGAATCCAGTGAGTGCTGGATCACCAACGCGCCTCTTTCCATAACTCAGAATCAAAATCTTTGTTTATACTGGAGGAATGCGATGAGCTATAAAGCTATTTTTTTACAGATGTCCAGTAAGGTGCGGGTCAGAGAGTTACAACAAATATACCTGCGTGCACACAGGAGACAATCAGCCTTAAATTGCCCACATGTCTGTCGGTTGTTGAGTTATTAACGCCTTCCAACTGGGTTAAAATGCAATTATGCACGAGCGTTTGCCAGTCGGAGCTGATCCACTTAAAGATGATTGACTTTGAACCAAACTTTAGTTTAGTACAGAGTTATGTTGCTATTCATGACTCGCCCTATGGACATCCGGGCACGCTGATCGATATGGGTCCACTGCTGCCGCACTCTTGGAGAGACAGAGACCACGGTGTGTGTCGTGAACGTGCAACCACATTCGCTCTCACAGCTCCACGATGGCTGCGATGCTGCCGATTAAACAGCTCAGCAAGCAAAGACCGGGAACGCCTGAAATCACCAATGCTTGTAACACCTCACTACCGCACCACTCCCCTCACCTCCACTCACCTCAACCTCACCACCCACCTCAACCTCACCACTCCCCTCACCTCCACTCACCTCAACCTCGCCACCCACCTCAACATTACCACTCCCCTCAACCTCACCACCCACCTCAACCTCACCACTCACTCACCTCACCACTCACCTCAGCCTCACCACTCACCTCAACCTTACCACTCACCTCAACCTCACCACTCACTCACCTCACCACTCACCTCAACCTCACCACTCACCTCAACCTCACCACTCACCTCAACCTCACCACTCACCTCAGCCTCACAACTCACCTCAACCTTACCACTCACCTCAACCTCACCACTCACTCACCTCACCACTCACCTCAACCTCACCACTCACCTCAACCTCACCACTCACCTCAACCTCACCACTCCCCTCACCTCCACTCAGCTCAACCTCACCACTCACCTCAACCTCACCACTCACTTCACATCCACTCACCTCAACCTCACCACTCACCTCAACCTCACCACTCACCTCAACCTCACCACTCCCCTCACCTCCACTCAGCTCAACCTCACCACTCACCTCAACCTCACCACTCACTTCACATCCACTCACCTCAACCTCACCACTCACCTCAACCTCACCACTCACTCACCACTCACTCACCTCAGCCTCACTACTCACCTCAGCCTCACTACTCACCTCAGCCTCACCACCCACCTCAACCTCACCACCCACCTCAACCTCACCACTCCCCTCACCTCCACTCACCTCAGCCTCACCACTCACCTCAGCCTCACCACCCACCTCAACCTCACCACTCACCTCAGCCTCACCACCCACCTCAACCTCACCACTCACCTCAACCTCACCACTCACCTCAACCTCACCACTCACCTCAACCTCACCACCCACCTCAACCTCACCACTCACCTCAACCTCACCACTCACCTCAACCTCACCACCCACCTCAACCTCACCACCCACCTCAACCTCACCACTCACCTCAACCTCACCACTCACCTCAACCTCACCACTCACCTCAACCTCACCACTCACCTCAACCTCACCACCCACCTCAACCTCACCACCCACCTCAACCTCACCACTCACCTCAACCTCACCACTCACCTCAACCTCACCACTCACCTCAACCTCACCTCTCACCTCAACCTCTCACCTCAACCTCACCACTCACCTCAACCTCACCACTCACCTCAGCCTCACCACTCACCTCAACCTCACCACCCACCTCAACCTCACCACCCACCTCAACCTCACCACTCACCTCAACCTCACCACTCACCTCAACCTCACCACTCACCTCAACCTCACCACCCACCTCAACCTCACCACCCACCTCAACCTCACCACTCACCTCAACCTCACCACTCACCTCAACCTCACCACTCACCTCAACCTCACCACTCACCTCAACCTCACCACCCACCTCAACCTCACCACCCACCTCAACCTCACCACCCACCTCAACCTCACCACTCACCTCAACCTCACCACTCACCTCAACCTCACCACTCACCTCAACCTCACCACCCACCTCAACCTCACCACCCACCTCAACCTCACCACTCACCTCAACCTCACCACTAACCTCAACCTCACCACTCACCTCAACCTCACCACTCACCTCAACCTCACCTCTCACCTCAACCTCTCACCTCAACCTCACCACTCACCTCAACCTCACCACTCACCTCAACCTCACCACCCACCTCAACCTCACCACCCACCTCAACCTCACCACCCACCTCAACCTCACCACTCACCTCAACCTCACCTCAACCTCACCACTCACTCACCTCACCACTCACCTCAGCCTCACCACTCAGCTCAACCTCACCACCCACCTCAACCTCACCACTCACCTCAACCTCACCACTCACCTCACCTCACCACTCCCCTCAACCTCACCACCCACCTCAACCTCACCACTCACCTCAACCTCACCACTCACCTCAACCTCACCACTCACCTCAACCTCACCACTCACCTCAACCTCACCACTCCCCTCAACCTCACCACCCACCTCAACCTCACCACTCACTCACCTCACCACTCACCTCAACCTCACCACTCACCTCAACCTCACCACTCACCTCAACCTCACCACTCACCTCAACCTCACCACTCACCTCAACCTCACCACTCACCTCAACCTCACCACTCACCTCAACCTCACCACTCACCTCAACCTCACCACTCACCTCAACCTCACCACTCACCTCAACCTCACCACTCCCCTCAGCCTCACCACTCACCTCAAGGCCTCACCACTCACCTCAAGGCCTCACCACTCACCTCAAGGCCTCACCACTCACCTCAAGGCCTCACCACTCACCTCAAGGCCTCACCACTCACCTCAGCCTCACCACTCCCCTCAACCTCACCACTCACCTCAACCTCACCACTCACCTCAAGGCCTCACCACTCACCTCAAGGCCTCACCACTCACCTCACCTCACCACTCACCTCAACCTCACCACTCACCTCAACCTCACCACTCACCTCAAGGCCTCACCACTCACCTCAAGGCCTCACCACTCACCTCAACCTCACCTCTCACCTCAACCTCACCACTCACCTCACCTCACCACTCACCTCAACCTCACCACTCACCTCAACCTCACCACTCACCTCAACCTCACCACTCACCTCAACCTCACCACTCACCTCAACCTCACCACCACCTCAACCTCACCACCTCACCTCAACCTCACCACTCACCTCAACCTCACCACTCACCTCAAGGCCTCACCACTCACCTCAAGGCCTCACCACCCACCTCAACCTCACCACCCACCTCAACCTCACCACTCACCTCAACCTCACCACTCACCTCAACCTCACCACTCACCTCAAGGCCTCACCACTCACCTCAGCCTCACCACTCACCTCAAGGCCTCACCACTCACCTCAACCTCACCACCCACCTCAACCTCACCACCCACCTCAACCTCACCACCCACCTCAACCTCACTACCCACCTCAACCTCACCACCCACCTCAACCTCACCACTCACCTCAACCTCACCACCCACCTCAACCTCACCACTCACCTCAGCCTCACCACTCAGCTCAACCTCACCACCCACCTCAACCTCACCACCCACCTCAACCTCACTACTCACCTCAACCTCAGCACCCACTTCAACCTCACGACTCACCTCACTCCTCACCTCGCCACTCAACTCACCTCCTCTCAAATCCGAGCTTCCACGCTCCCACTCTACTCACCCACCACTAGCCTCACAAACCACATTCACCTCGACTCACACTCACCTCATCTTACCTCACAATCATCTCCCCCCCACCCACAGCCCCAACTCACCACTACACTCCCACTCTCACCTCGCCCCACTCCTCACCCGACTCACCCGGCAGGGCCCGGCTTGGAGTGAGGAGTCCACGGAAGAGACGCGGCGCTCGTCACATCCGCGACTCCGAGACACGCCCCCAGCACCCCCCCCCCCCCCCTCGTACCCTCCCCTCCCCTCCCCCAGCACCCTCCCCTCCCCGCGTACCCTCCCCTCCCCTCCCCCACCACCCTCCCCTCCCCGCGTACCCTCCCCTCCCCGCGTACCCCCCCCCTCCCCTCCCCGCGTACCCCCCTCCCCTCCCCTCGTACCCTCCCCTCCCCTCCCCCAGCACCCCCCCTCCCCTCCCCCAGCACCCCCCTCCCCTCCCCTCCCCCCGTACCCCCCTCCCCTCCCCTCGTACCCTCCCCTCCCCTCCCCCAGCACCCCCCTCCCCTCCCCGCGTACCCCCCTCCCCTCCCCGCGTACCCCCCTCCCCTCCCCGCGTACCCCTCCCCTCACCCCGTACCCCCCCTCCCCTCCCCCCGTACCCCCCCTCCCCTCCCCCCGTACCCCCCTCCCCTCCCCCCGTACCCCCCTCCCCCCGTACACGCCCCTCCCCTCCCCCCGTACCCCCCTCCCCCCGTAACCCCCTCCCCTCCCCCCGTACCCCCCTCCCCCCGTAACCCCCTCCCCCCTTACCCCTCCCCTCCCCCCGTACCCCCCTCCCCCCTTACCCCTCCCCCCGTACCCCCCTACCTTCCCCCGTACCCCTCCCCTCTCCCCGTACCCCCCTCCCCTCCCCTCCCCCGTAACCCCCTCCCCCCGTACCCCTCCCCTCTCCCCGTACCCCCTCCCCCCCCCTCCCCTCCCTCCGTACCCCCTCCCCCCGTAACCCCCTCCCCCCGTAACCCCCTCCCCTCCCCCCGTAACCCCCTCCCCTCCCCCCGTAACCCCCTCCCCCCGTAACCCCCTCCCCCCGTACCCCTCCCCTCTCCCCGTACCCCCCCTCCCCTCTCCCCATACCCCCCTCCCCTCTCCCCGTAACCCCCTCCCTTCCCTCCGTACCCCCCCTCCCCCCGTAACCCCCTCCCCCCGTAACCCCCTCCCCCCGTACCCCTCCCCTCTCCCCGTACCCCCCTCCCCTCTCCCCATACCCCCCTCCCCTCTCCCCATACCCCCCTCCCCTCTCCCCGTAACCCCCTCCCCTCTCCCCGTAACCCCCTCCCCTCCCTCCGTACCCCCCTCCCCTCTCCCCGTAACCCCCTCCCCTCTCCCCTTAAACCTCTCCCCTCCCTCTGTACCCCCCTCCCCTCCCACCGTACCCCCCTCCCCTCCCACCGTACCCCCCTCCCCTCCCCCCGTACCCCCCTCCCCTCCCCCCGTAACCCCCTCCCCCCGTAACCCCCTCCCCCCGTACCCCTCCCCTCTCCCCGTACCCCCCCCCTCCCCTCTCCCCATACCCCCCTCCCCTCTCCCCGTACCCCCCTCCCCTCCCCTCTCCCCGTACCCCCTCCCCACTCTCCGTACCCCCCGTATAGCCTCAACAAGACGTCGGGGCAAGTGCAGTTAGCGAGTCGCACCTATGAAGGCCGGCACGGCACGCGAGGGGAGGGGGTGGGTTTGCATGCACCACGCCCGACCGCCTTCGTCTCCCCAGTGGCGATGTCTAATTACGCATCGCACCAGGCGACTCGTTTGCTGAGACCGAATTGACCCTGGGGTCGGCCCAGGACCGGTTCATGTGACCGGTCCTGGTGTTGGTGGCCGTGGGCAGGAATCGAACTCGGGTCTCTGCCGGGTCTCGGATCTCAGTGCACGGAGTGTGACGCTTGTGGGGCTGGGCTGGCAGCTCGCCACTGTACTTTTCGTGTTTCGTTCTCGAACTCAAAATAGTACCGTGATTTGGTACCAGAAAAAGCTTAGAGAATAATGAATGGATAACACGCAAGTTTCTAATTCATCGTTTTGCTTGAGTTATCTTTTTTTCGTAGAAATATCCTTATTAGAGAAATAAAAACATTCTGCAAACATGTTTCATTTTTTTTTGTCTCGGATTGACAAAAAAAACATTTAAATCCTAAGTGGCATAATTTCAACACTTTGATTAAAAACGTTTAAAACTCTCACTTGTTATCAACGGCGGTGGGTTTTTGAGAAGGGAATCTTGCCAGCCGTTTTAGTTCTTGACAACTGATGCGTTACATTCCTGTAGACGCATTTACATAAGGCGGTAGAATGAGTATCAGAAATTAAGAAGCTTAGCCTCTAATTAACCTGAGTTGGTACGAAAATAGAACGACAAAATATCCCCATTTTCGTACCGTACCATAATATCGTACCGTGCTGCCACCGTTGACGTGGGGTAACGGTCAGCACCCTGGGCATGCAACTTAGAGGTGGCCATTTAAACTCCATCTCCAGGGGCAGAAATTGAAACATCAAGGTCGCACTCATCACACACAAAGTGCTTGTCACTAGTGAACGATACCTCGCCTATCTCAAGGAGCATAAACCATCATCACGCGCATTCCGATCATCGCAGCGCCAAATTTTGGCTTGCCATCGAACAAAGACGGTCACCCCATCACGCACTTTCTGATGCCATTCTGCGGCCGTCTGGAACGCTGTTCTTTAGGATATTAAGAAACCACTGGAGCTATGCACTTTAAGTATAGATTAAAAACATTTTTCTTTAGAACTGCTTTTTGTGTTTAGTTTGTTGTCCTTCCCCCGCACCTCCGATTACCAGGGTTCACTACGTAGAGTACGAAAGAAGTTCAACATACACACATCATCATGATTATGAGCTTAGCCCCGTGCCTCTGGTGCGATTCAACTCGTAGCAGAATTACAGCAAACTTCATGGGACACAAAATGGTGTAACTTCCAAATGTGTTTATTAGACTCACAATATAATGCACACAGTACCGTGCTACCAGACACATCCTCCGACTCGGTTTCCACGCTGCCAATCACAGACAGGCTTCAATGAACGTCACACTCCCCACCACGATTTCCACCCAGTCCCATTCGCCATAAACATTTTCGGCGCCACCCAAAATGGTTTAGGCCCGGCCTGGGTGGCTACTCGGAGCAAGCGGCTCGGAATCAGAAGGTTGCGAGGTCAAATCCTGGTTGGGGGGGGCAGTTGACTCAGCACATCATCCATGTGGGGTAGATAAAATAGGGACCACTCTGTGGGGAAGTGGCCAGTGGTTGTACGAAAGAGACTTCCCCCCCCTTCATAGGAATGACATTTCCACCACTGGCTCAGGGTTGTAAACAGGACATGAGGACCGCGTCGATGGTCGTTTGAGCAGGAAGCCACTTTGAATAAACTAAAACACATTCAAACCTAAACACACAGCGTGATATCCGAAACCCAATGCAGCATTGCAAGCGGGGGCATGCGGATGTGTAATGCAGAAGTGGCGTGGTACACATGTTTCAGAATGAACAAAACGTGGCTCTCTGGGGCAAGTGAACACCAGGCTGAGACTCCAGTGTAGGTGCAGGCCAATTCCAATCCCAGTAGCCGTACATCCACTGACGTTCGCGTGGTGCTCCACTTCTGTAACCCAGAACTTTGGAGGCAAGGGTTGGTGGATCACGTAGGCACTCGTGAAACTCCCAAACCTGCTGTGCTATGGAGGTGGCCAGGAGACAGCAGACCCCTTGGGTGGTATCCCGCTCGTGTGCGGTGTGCCCCCACACACGCGAGCCTTCAACACTCATCCCGTGATAAGAACACAGATCGCGAACGTTTTGTTGGAATAATAACAACAACAATAATTTTACGGGGGAATGTTTTAATTATCTCTGCGCCAGGTTTGGTAGCATTTCACAAAAGATTTTGGGAGAGTATAAAAGGATCGCGGCCACTGCCTAACGCAAAGGGAGATGCGATTAAATAAGGAGACGGATTTTTTTGGCTCTATTGAAGCAGGCTCCTCCTTAAATGGTTTAATGCACAGAAAAAAACTCACATCTAAACCACAACGCAGTCTTTGTGTGATTAACCAAACAATCCCTGCCCTGCTTTGCAGACTATGAACGGCACAACAATGGCACAGCCGCAATTAAAGTTCGCTTCCTGCCTCTGCATTTCATTCTGCTATTAGATTAATTGATTTTCTCATCATTGGATTTCTCATAATTTCACAGGACAATCAGGGACGTAAAGCTTGAGCAAAGGATCCATCTGCAACAAAGACAAAGGCGCGTGTTACCCGTCGCCACATTACACCTCCGATTAGCACGATTGGCAAAGACGTACGGCGTGAAAGAAGTTCAACATACATACATAGAAAACACGCGGCGAATATGCCCCAGCTCCTGGGCATGGAGCGGAATGTCGGACACCGCGCCAAACGATGCGCCGTGTGGCACAGTCCGGCGGTGGCCGGTAACGTTTGAGCAGTGGTGCGAGTGAAACGTCGACTCACCAGACAGCAGGATCCACTTTCAGAGGTATCGATTCCGCATTACCGCCGGGGGACGATGGCTCGTTGATCGTTTTCGAACTGAGGGAGAGAGGCCACGTGACGTTTAAAGATGTCTAAGACGGGTATCAGACCGTACCGTGGGGTAGTGGTCAGTGTGCTGGACTTGCGATGCACAGGTCACCGACTCATTACAATCTCCCAGCAGGTCAGTTTCAACAATAGGGGCAGGTTTATTAATCCCGCCAGCCTCTGTTTGAACTGGCAACCTGTGGATTCCAAGTCTAGCGGGCACTGCCCACGGCACCACGGCAGCTCCCTTCGCTTTCTCGGTTAAAAGGTACAAGCGTAAAGTTTATCGCTAGACGTGTCTATATACGCGGCTAACCGGTGCCCGACACCAAACAAACAAAAGTTCCGTTGTGCACACATCGAGCGGACTAAGAACACAGCGAGTAGATGAAGAACACGGGGGGAGGACGAAGAACACGGCGAGCAGATAAAGAACACGGCGAGCGGATGAAGAACACCGCGAGTGGATGAAGAACACGGCAGGCGAATGAAGAACACCACGAGTGGTCGATGAACATGACGAGTGGATGAAGAACACCACGAGTGGTCGATGAACACAGCAAGCAGATAAAGAACACGGCAGGCGGATGAAGAACACTGCGATTGGATGAAGAACACGGCGAGTG